TCCATTCGAGGTTTGGGTAATGGGTCTGTTGCCCCCCTCCAGTGGAAGAGTGGGTAATGGAGCCATTGTTTTCCCTCTCGTTGGGGGAATGGGTAATGGGGCCTTTCCCCCTCCCTGGAGGGGTGGGTAATGGTACCGTTGCCTCCCCCTCCCCAGGGTAGGTGGGTAATGGGACAATAATATACTATATATACTTTGTGCCACTGATAAAAAATGGTTTTCTTAATGGAGAGCAGTTGTTGCCCTTTAACACTGTCAAGAGTCAAATTAAAGGCATTTAGTAGTGGAAATTTAACTTGCCTTTGTTATTGTGTGAAAATAAGAAAATGCTGTAGTGCTACTTGAGGCTATTTAAGTACTGTACAGGTATACTAGTATTTAAATAATGCAGCTCTGCAGAAACTGTAGAATATTCTTGGGTATGATAAAAGTTAAATCCATTTTTACCTCTGAGAAGGCTTTGGGGGTATTGTGGACGAAGCATCCTTGACTATCACAGGCCAACTCCCCCCTTCCCTCGGAGATAGCATGTTGTGGTTAGTGATTGAAAAGCTAGTCCCCAACGTGGAACAGCTGAACCCCCAACTGTTCAGGACATCCAGCTAGGAGGCGGTTTTTCAGATGTCGTGAGGTAGCAGTCTGCTTCAAGTGGAATTTATCAAGTGATGCTGTACTTGTTTTATCCTTTTAAAGTAAAAATACAAAAATGTTGCTAAAGAATAGAGCAATAATAATCCTTGTGTGTAGGGTTGGCAAGGCTGGTTGAGCAACTGTGGCGCAGTGCCGGCCTGAGTCTATTGATTAAAGTATTGATCCCAGAGGCAGAGGAGAGAGGAGGCACTGCGTCGCCCCTCAGTGGAGCTTGCCTCCGTGTGTGGTGCAGGAGAGCAGGCGAGCTTGAAGAGCAATAGAGATTAAACACATGCTGTTAATCTCTCAAATGTGATGTAATGCTGTGCCTAAGGCTTTGAGAACTGTAGTTGCAAAATACCTGGCATCTTGAAAGGGCAAGCTGTGCAACAGTTTTGGTTAAAATGGCGAAGAAGAAGAATCGTGGCAAGAAGTCATCTGGGGCCAAACCCAATAATGCACCAGTGCCCGAGAATACTCTCGCATCTGCACAAGCAAAACCAGAGGGTTCATGCACCGCTGTTTGTGTAGAGGAAACTAGCTTTGCTAGCCACTCGGACAAAAAGAATACCTCAGTATGTCTTCCCAGTGTCACAGCTGTTCCAGATGTGTGCCAAAAACATGACAAAGAAGCAGCCACTACTAAAGTAGGACTATTGAATGGTTTCTTTGTTAAACATAATTTTTTAAATGATCTGTGATTATTAACTACAGAAACAGAGATGTCTTGTACTAGAATATAAACTTTGCAGAATAAGTTCTACCAGCTTTTGATAACATAAATATAAACTTTATGAAATTTACACACTTTGCCAACTTTAGGTAATATTTGTATGCATGTAGAAGCCAGGCTCAGGTGTGTTCAGTTTATATTTTTACAAATGATGGAGATATAGTTCCTTAAATTTTCCTACCAACCTCAGTTCATGGACTATCACTCCATGGTCACATCAAATGCCTTACCAAAGTCAATTTCAAAGTATTCCACATCTGCATTTTTTTCTTCCAAGGCATTTGTAATTTTGTCAGTGGTTGAGTAGCTACAAAAGGCATGAGTTTCATGTTCTAAATCCATGTTGGCCTGGGTTGTGGGTGTCATCCAGCCTATTAAATGATTTTGGCACTTGTCAAGAAAAACTTTGTATCCAAAAAATTTTTTTTTTCCTCCTAGATGCATGTTCGATTAGTCCACACGTATTCCGAACTTTCCCGTTGCTCTTGCTTCAGTCGAACATATTTCACAAATGTTTTGGTTGAATTAAAATTATCTTTAAAATATTTCCTAAGCTGGAGAGTTGGTAGTGTTTGGGCATTTTGATTATTATAAATTACAACACTATACAAAATTTGGTATCTGAAAGAACCTTTTTACCTTTTTAGATTCTCTTATCCTCAAAGGTTCTTCTACCACAATTAAAAATATATTTAAAATTAGGACTGGATTCTGTTATTCTTCCTCTTAAAAGGAAGACTTTCCTTGTGATACTCATTAAAGCACAGTACAGTGAGCCTAACAGCTGAGTGGACAGCGCTTTGGATTCGTAGTCCTGAGGTTCTGGGTTCGATCCCCGGTGGAGGCGGAAACAATGGGCAGAGTTTCTTTCACCCTGATGGCCCTGTTACCTAGCAGTAAATGGGTACTCAGGTGTTACAGTTGCTATGGGCTGCTTCCTGGGGGTGTGTAATTGTGTAACAAAAAGGATGCCTGGTCAAGGACTGGGCCGCGGGGACGCTAAGCCCCGAAATCACCTCAAGATAACAGTACTGTACTACTTTTTGTATGTTTTATTTAAGCAAATTAACTACAGTACTTGTAAATAGTTTCCTTAGCGTGTAAACTTCATAGTGGTTGAGTCTAGTGCAGGAAATGCATCTTTGCAGTTATTTACAGTTTCAGTAGTTTTAGTTTAGTCTAGTTTTACAGTTCGGTAGTTACAATTTTTCAGTAGTACAGTACCTTGAGGTAATTTGAAACTAGTTAGACAAAGGTGTCCAGTTAGGGCTTGAGATGCATTCAGTACACTCCTCACTGAGTATTTCTCAATGTCGTACTATTTCCCTGTCTCTACCCCCGAATCTTTCTCTTTGGAGTGAGGTAACGCATACCAGAGAAAGGAAAATGTGATGTAGTGAAGAAAAGGGATATGTTTAGAATGACACCCAGTGGAGAGTATGTATGTATGTATGTACTTGCCATACTCTGTAGCATTACTGAAAAGGTTAAATTTGAATCAAACTGGTTATATAAAACAACAAATTTGTATTACATTAAACCACTACTTGGTTGAAGACAGCTTTTCAAGTGCTAGATGTAAATAATTTTATACCGTAATAAGACGACGGCTAGTTTTTCTCAAGATTGTTGGCTTGATTTGAGTCTTCCTTCTTTTATAACAGTAAGTGGCCTTTTTTCCCCCTTTTGGCTAGTATTATTGTTATTGGCTTTAGCTCATTATGCACATATTCCCATAATTGGCACTGCATCATATTTATTGTACTTATAATGCAAGTCACTAAGGTCTTTGTACATATAAAGGTAGGTTGTTCTAGTATTTTGAACTGACACATTTTTCAAGGCAATGACAAACATTATATTAGGGTATTGTTATATAATAAATGGGTTTACACATAGGACTTCAAAAAACAAAACAAACGTGAAAGATAGAATGTCTTAAATATTTGTAATGATTAAATATTTGTTGTTAGGATATCAGCACTAGTTTGATAGTAAATGAGGTTCACATTAAAATTTCTTAATACTTCTATTAAAACTGTTAGCTACATGATAAATTGACTTGGAAGAAAATTTAAAGATTGTATTTGGAGTGTACTTCTTAGGGAGAGTGTTAATAATGTGTCGAGTGACTAGTTTGACGTTAATGTAGGAGTACACAAGCTGTGCGATATCTGGGTCAATGTATGTTTATTCACACATTCACAGTATATAATAATAATAATAAATGGAATGTGATACAGTACTACTGTATATGTCATATTTACTATATACAAATGGTAAAGTTCTAGCAGAGAAGGCTAACTATGTTAGAGCAGTTGGCTTTGTTGACTGCTAAAAATAAGTATGGATGTAAGTGATGGCGTGGTGCAGTGTGAAGTATGGATGCATAAATTTGTGTGTACAGAGGTGACGGATCGGTTTAAATATCCGAGAGGTGTGATTGACACTAGGAATTTGTGCAAGCCAAGTTGAGAGTAGAGTCGGGGAAGGAAAGTACCTGGCACTATGCATAACGTTCTTATGAAGAATGAAATTGATGTGCCTAGAGGGCTGCATGAAGTAGTGGTAATGCCTTCCTTCATATACAGATAGATGCAGGTGTGACATGTGCATGACAAATAAGAACTAGAACAGTGGAAATGGACAATGTGAAGCATACATTATGTGAATAGATAATCGAAAACAAAAATATGGAAAGATATGAAATGGAAGTGTGAATTATAACATGGAGAGGTGTATCAAGATTGGTTGGTGCTGTTGACTGACTTGTGGGAGGAAGCATAGATGAAGCAACTTGTGAGCATGGAGTAAATGTCTTTACATATTTGTGTGATGGACTCGGGCAATTTTATTGGACTTGACAAATGATTTTTAACAAAATTAAAATAAATGGTGAAATTTAAAGTCAGAATAAAGTTTTTGTGAAAATGGAAACCACTGGTTAGTAGACCAATCTCTTGAGGGCAGATAACAGGCATTCATTACCACTCACAACTTTGTATATACAGTATTAATGGAAAAGTTGTTAACAGAGAACTGGAAAATTTTATGTTCAGATTTTACATTATTTGTTACATTGTATGTTTGAAGCATGTAACTTTGTATATACATTTGTGTAGCAGGTGACACTAAGTTGCCAGTGTTAAGCTGTGTATAAGGCTTGTGAGTTGGAAGTTTTACAGTTAAAATTATTGGTATAAGGAAGCTACAGCCAGAGCAACTGATGTACAGTAATTTATTTTTTGTATGTGCAAGGCAGGCAATTTTAATAAGTTTCATGGTAGAGGCTGGGTGTCAGGTGTGAGCTGAGATACAGTATAACACAGAGTTGTAGTGAGTGTTCCATGTTCATAAATAATTAGTTTCAAGGTTCTGTTGTAATAAATTGTTCCTTTTCCTTGTACAGTGCACTGGGATGAAGTACTCCAGTGTTGAGAGTTTGCTTTTAATATAGATAATACAATGTTTCAAAATATTTTCACAAGCCCTGGGATAATTCACCTTGACTATATGCAGGTAGCTCATTAATACGAGGTGTTTCGTAGCACTTATTCATATTATAACTTAAGGAGGGCTACATCACTGGATTTATAGTACTGAAATTCCTAAGATTTTTTTGTGTCTTTCTTTTCAGGATCAGGGAGCATTCCTGAGCGAGTTTGAGAGCAAAGCATTACAGGTTGCGACCCAGACTGTTCAGCAGCCTGAACCAGAGGTTGTAGAGAAGGTTGTGGAAATTGTCAAGGTGGGCTGTGTGTGTTGTGAATGTTAAGATGAAGTTGTGCTTGTTAATTAAGAGTACACACACCAGTTTGGAAATGTCAATTTTTCCTTTTAGGATAAATGATAAGGGTCTCGAGAGTCTTGTAATGGGAATTTATGGATATGAATAATTTTAAAACTTATTTCCTTTATATATAATCATTATTACCCATTTCTCACTTTCATGGGATGGAGAGGCATCAGCCCAAAGAAAAAAAGAAAACATGCTTTCATTCACCACGTTATACACTCAATATAACTGAGGAGATAAAGACGTGCCACAACACTAGCTAAGTATTCACAGCTAAACTCACTCACTTGTGTACAAGGACACGTTTTGTGTTACCTGCTTGATGGGGTTCTGGGAGTTCTACTCCCCAAGCCCGGCCCGAGGCAAGACTCGACTTGAGAGTTTGGTCCACCAGGCTGTTGCTTGGAGCGGCCCACAGGGCCACGTACCCACAACAGCCTGGCTGATCCAGAACTTCTCTTAGAAAACAGTCCAGTTTTCTCTTGAAGATGTCCACGGTTGTTCCAGCAATATTTCTTAGTCGCTGGGAGGACTTGAACAACCGCGGACCTCTGATGTTTATACAGTGTTCTCTGATTGTGCCTATGGCACCGCTGCTCTTCACTGGTTCAATCTTGCATTTTCTTCCATATGTTCTCCTCAATAATTTGTTAAATATAGTCAAACTCCTCTATAATTTGTTAAATATAGTCAAACTGAACATTTACTCCTTAAAAAAGCCTTGTCTACATTAGATTATGTGCTGGTCACACTCAATTTCAGTGTTGTCAGATATTCATAATATTGGCTCATCTTTTCCGGGTTTTTCTCCTCAAACCTTCAAATTCACTCGTTTATTCCCTCCCCACCAGTCTGTCATCCATTCATCACATAGCCACCTGCTTCCTCCTCAAAGGAAGGAGAATCTCATTTCGGTCTCTACCCCAACTGACCTGTGCAACTCTTGATAAAAAATTGATGCATTCAACCATTCAATTCTCCCATTACAATTACTATAGCACTTTGACAAAAACAATTCACTCGCACTCTCCCTCTGTGTGTGTGTAATTACCTAAGTGTGTGTGTGTGTGTATATATTTATTTCAAAAGAACTACATCCTAATTGCAATAATAATGAAATAATGGCACATTGAACATGTTTATTAAGCAACCACCAAGATGACCACTAATATCAGACATTCCCAAGCTTGAGATACATTTCATGAATACACTAATGACAAGTTTTTTAATTGTTAATTTTTGTTAAAGGGAATTGATATTTAATGAGTAATAAATGTGCATAATGTAATTGATCTGAGAACAACCAGGAGACAAATGTTATAGATCATGTGCTTTGAGTTTTGCTGTTATCGTGACTGAACAGACTAATTGCTGGTATTTTACCCTGGAAACACAAACCGAAACTGTCTCTATTTTCCGCTTGTTATAACTTGTAATAAAGTTTTTACATCTTGGCTTAACGCTTTTATGACGTATTAGAACGTTGTTACAACTTGCTATATTGGTTGTTATAACTGGTTAGGTGTTAAAACTTGTTCGAACGTTGTACCAACGTCGTAGTTTCAGTGTGTGTTTGGCAGGTACCGATGGTTTAGGAAGTGTTTAATATAATTAATTATGTTAATGTGCATTTATCATGGTTATCCAGGTTGTGGAGAAAGAGGTTGAAGTGAAGGTACAGGATCCCGCCCTTAAATCACAAGTTGAGGAGCTTTCCAGAGAGAATGCTGACCTTCGATCACAGGTAGGCATTCTCTATACTCTTCAAATATTGTTTATATTCTAATTTATCATTTGTGAATTTTGTGTGTTGGAAACTTGTCATCTATACCTCCTAGTTTGAGGAAGTATCGACTGCCTTGTCTATGCGAGTCAAAGCAGCGGGGGTAATTCCTACCCATAGATTTAAGACTGCATAATTAAACTGTACTTAATAAAGTCTGTTGGAAATATATTTTTCATGGTAGAGTTCTTGTATTTATTGGATGTTGATTGACAATCTTTAACATTAAAATTTCACACTTGTTTCTTGTCAGAACTGTAGTGTATTTGGTGAATGTGTGCTTGGTACACATGTGTTGTATTTTTATTCTAGGTTGCTGGTCTCCAGGAAGCATCTTCACCATCAGTAGATGACAGCCAAAGAATTAGTGAACTAGAGGAAGAAGTGCGTGTAGTCTCTGATAAGGTCACCCACTACCAGAAGGTCTTGGCAGATACAGTGAGTGGTGTTTTTCTGAATGTTATCTTTACTCTTCCCATCCTCCTTGATATGGATGACCCACTTTTATGTCATTGAATCCTGGATGTGTTCACTTATGAATGACAAAAGTCAGGATGCAAAACAGTATGGTAATCAAAGTTACGAGGTGGATGTAAATATTAGGTTTGTAATTTCTTTATATAATTGAATAGGAAGGCAAGATGAGACAACATAAAAAATACCCCTGCGCTGCTCACCTGTTGCATGTGACAAATTCATGGTGCAGTTTTTAATGAATTATTTACATTATTAATAATTGGTAATAAAGACTTGGCAATGTGCTCTGGATTGTCTAGGTTACTTTGTATTTTATGGTCAGAATTGATGGGAAAAAGGCGAAGTGCCAAAAATAAAAACATTGAATTCATATGATATGACTTTTGTTCTTATGTTCATTTTTACTGCTTAAACTGTTTATCTACTTGGTTGTGCTGTACAAAACCTAATGTTGTAGTAAATGCTCTTGATTCTTTGTTAAGTCTTAAGACTGCTTCATTTTGCTTCAGTGTGTTTGGTTATTTTACCAATATATTTTGTGCATATTTGTAACAAATAATACTAATTTATTTTGTATTGGCAGGAAAATCTGTTAAAATCACTACAAGCCTCGGTAGAGTCAGAGGAGGTGGCGTGGAAGGAGCGTCTCTCCGAGAAAGAGAGTAGTGTGCGGCAGCTGACGGCAGACAAAGCCAACCTGAAACTCGAGGTGAAACAACTAGAAGATACCTTAAAGACGGTTAAAAAGTCGGAAGATGTGAGTACCCAGAGTTGTCACTAATCACATTATTCTAACTGGCTTTTGTTTTAGTGTGGATCAAGTGCATGTAGCCTTTCAACACTCATTATCCTCAACTTGCCTTATTGAAATCATGGTGAGCTAATTTCATCATCCAGGAGTATTATCACAGTGAGTCGGTTGAAAATCCATTGACTTTGTGGGGTTTAGTATTATCCATATTGTCTTGTATTGTGAAATGTCTTTTGTTGAACCAAACATGTGTGGCTTTAAAATTTCAACTTGAAGTTTTACTAAATATTTATTGATTCATTATAGAAGTGTGCATTGGTTTACACACATACTGCAAGTGTGTGTGTGCTTGGGTAATCTTGATCAGAACCAGCAAGGTCATTGTTAATTAGTCATTGAATACGATGGCTAAGTGTTTTGAAAATAAATAAGTACATTTAAAAAGTAAGATATTTCAATACTGTAGGGAAACAAAATTACTGTACTGAAAGATGCCGAAAGGTAACAATTTTATTTTGAGATTATTTTGCTTGAAATGTGTTAGAGAATGTTTGTATTGGGACAGTAGTGTACTGGTGGCCATAGGATTTTTCATGCTCATAGTCTGTTTGAGAGACGATTTTCCACTCTTTTTCTAGGCAACGGCAGAGATTTGTGGGATGGAGTTTGCGTTAACTTGCATAGAGAAGTCTCTACCCCTCGTAGTTACTCAGGTATATTTGGGACAGTAAAGGGTGCCATTGTCAATAAGGGTTGGTTAAACTACCATCTTTGGGCTCATGGAGACAAGCTTGCTGTTTCACATTAATTTTATTCTAAATCTTGGGATATAATTACTGTATTTTACAATGTAACCTTGTTCTAACAGACAACTGTAATTGGAACTGGACCTGTTTTGGTTCACTAAGGGTTTCTGTTCTCGATGTTCACTTGTTTGCTATTTACTGCCAATTTGTTCTTTCCTAAAATTGGATAACATGCATACATGCATAAATATATTACACACAAAAAAAAATAGTAGATGGTTGGAACAAGTGAGAAGGTGGTGGAGGCCAAAACCGTCAGTAGTTTTAAAACATGATACGACAGAGTACTTGGAAGACAGGACACCACGAGCGTAGCTCTCATCCTGTAACTACCCTTAGGTAATTACACACACACTGCTACAGTAATTAACACTATTATAGAACTTTTAATACTTAGGCAACAGTTACCATCCTATGATGATTCACGGGGTAATGCAGATGTCATTATATGATGATTTAAACCATTATTATCTGGGTTTTACAAGTATGATGGACATGAGGATATAATAGGTGTATGGATGTAATGGAGTTTACCTTGACACATGGAAAAAAATCCTGCTATCATTTCATGGTTACATAACTTATGTTAATGCAGTTGTCGTCATTGTATAAAATTCCCTGATAACTATACGCTATGTATGCCCATGATGTTCATATGGTTTTCACTGCTCTATATGGTTGTAGTGAGGTATACCAGATAAACCAATCATCAATTGAACCACTATCACGTGTTAGGTGTATTAGGAGCCTACCATAATCTGTGGCGGCACAGTGGCTTACACCTTGCTTTCAGCGTATACTCTTCCCTCCCATATGGTGCCAATTGGGCCATATTATGTTCATATTCTTTTCACTGCTCTAAATGGTTGTAATGGAGTATACCAGGTAAACCAATCTCTTAATTGAAACATTGTGTGTCTGTGTGTTATGAATTTATTCAACGCACATTTTTCTATAGAGAAACAATTGATAAACAATTAGAGAAATATCCAAGGAGAACACGGGTAATGTCTCGCATACGTCAGTGTCGGGAAAGTTGGGCATCGCGTGTTGACAGACGTTAGACCACATAGTAACCACACAACGTTTCAGTGCCTCCACCCAGTAAAAAGAATATTATTTACTAATTTTCATGTTTTTCTTATATTTTGCACACAACTTAATAATTCTATAATGAAAAATTATTTTTCAAATTTTTATTTTTTATGCATAGACTGGAATAACCATTTTGCTATAACTGCATAACTAATGGTTAAAATGGTCTAACATAGGGTGCAGGACTGTTTTGAGGGACCTTCAAATTACATAAGTCTTGCTTAAGTGTCCTGCCTCAGATTACAATTATCCCTTGCAATTAGTCTTGACAGCATTCTAAACTGTTTAAAATGTCTCATTCTCATCACTACCTAGTAATTTTCTTTGACCAACCTAAAGTGATATAAACCTGCAACTTCCTAATTTCTGTATTTCACAGGAAGCCTAAAAAAAAATCTAGGTACTGTGGTAACAGGAAAAGTTTAGCTTACTTTTAACTACTAGGCCAGCATCACCACCAGCACTCCTCTCAACCATTTGTAACACACTACTCAATTTTGAGCCTCTTGTTAGCAAATTATACCTTGGGTTATCTCTCTCCACTGAACCTGTCACATTATCATCCATAATCACATTTTCATCAGCCCTTCTTAAGCATTCTGTGGATTGTACCGTCATAGTTTTGTCAAAATCAACAATCGCATCAACAATCGCATTGTCGTCACTGTCTGTGATCTCTCCCTATTCAAGTTGTGAATATGTGATTTCTCTTCCTTAGGGTTTTGTTGCCCTTGTCATTGGCCTAGTCATGCTTACCTGTAACAAATATCTTCTTCAGCCGTATGAATAACACCTTGCTTACATAGGCTTGGTTCAATTGCACTGTTAGGGGGATTATGGTGCTCTCCATACAAAAAATAAAGTTAGGAAAAATATGGAAGGACTGGCATTGACAAAAATGAAGATGCTGGTAAAATCTTTGTGTATTCTGTTGGTAGGGATCCATAATATAACGGGTACAGATTAGGATTTTGCCTACAGTGTGGGTAAAAGATGGGTATGAATGGCATCTCTTTTTAATATTGCTCTGCTCAAATTTAATTATTTTCCTAAATAAGCACAATCTTATAAAATGCAACTGGAATCATGGGAGAGACATTGAAGATAGCCTGGTCAGAGGGTGGGTCATGGGGCCTTTGATCCCCAGAACCTCCACACGGTAGGTTGCATAGTTAAAATAAAGCAACCATTTAATTTTAAATCAATTCAGTTGACGATAAATTTTTATTATTCATAATTTATTTAGTCACATGGCTGTACTAATTAACCTGGATATAGGGTTCACCAGAATTAAAAAAAAAAAAAAAAAAAAAAAAAAAAAAAAAAAAAAAAAAAAAAATTACACCAAATAGAGCTAGTCTAGTAAGACAGCTTGCCAAAGAAAGTATAATTTTCACCAGACTTTTCTCTGCTTTTTTTATTGACACGACATGGTTTCCAGTCCATTACAATTTGTTCGAGCAAGGTTACATTGTTTAGTGGCAGTTTATAATTAGTATAATAACAGTACAGTATTGCTGTGACACTAATGGGCTCAATGATATTTGAAGTGATTCTAGCCACCCTAGTCTAGTTTTTCACGCTTGACTGCTTTAATACCGTACATAAGGACATGTTATAGGACTAGAAGATTACATAATGTTTTGATACATTGCTTGTCGGGAAAATCTTGCCTAGTTGTAATGTGTAAAGAATAAGGTTATAGCAGTCAGTGTCCATTATTAAACATTTCCTTATTGTATGGTTTTCAAGCACATACTAAAGCTTACAGGCACCCTTGCACTAACTACTTTTGCTTGCAGTGAGACTGGATGGAAATGTTATTGTAAAATATTTATTCCTCCTATATGTGGACACACTTTAACATCAATGAATCTTCAAAAAATGTAAAGTTAACTGAAGTATAACATGAAACTTGCTTAGTTGTGTTGATGTAGATTAGTAATGCTGTTCATGAATTAATAACCCACTTCCACTCACAATTCCTACACTTGCTACCATGTCCACCACCTGCTTTCTGGCATTCCAGCCCCTTAACTTTACTCGAATACTTATCAATTTGTTCAACATGTCCAAACCCTTGAAGTACTCTTCCCTCAATCTTGCCGTTTGACTCTGCATTCTCGTGTCTCCTGACATTCTCATTCTCTACGTATGCACTCTTCTAACCCCATGCATGCTTCTGATTATTCATTTATACTGGTTTAACTGTTAACTTTTCACATTCACTTTTAAGTCTTCTCACACACCTCAGTAAAGTTTTCAACTAAGTAGTTCTTAATTCTTTACTCTGCTTAAAGAACTGCATCATCTCTATGCATCAAAATAGTCTCCAATTACCTACATTAAACCCATACACTAGGTTTATACCCATCTAACATTATTCATTTGACCTACTTCAAGATCCCTCATGATGTATATTGTATAGTGAATAATGAAGGTGACATCTCACAACATTGACTTATTGCAGTCACAGGATTAATATATGTACAAGGTTAGCGGTCAATGACGGAAGAAACAAGTCCCTGGACGCTGTGAATGCTACTAGCTATTGGTGGTAGAATAAAGTTCAGTAAATGGACAATTGTGGTACCTTTTAAACCCTCTCTTACACCTCACAAATATTACTATATAATAATTTATTTTTATCCAATTAATTAAGGGAGGTTACATAACATTGAATGATGTAACATCATGTGTACAAGACACATTTAATGTGGAAAAAGGTTATTTGTTACTTCTCCAGATTAACTCGTTTAGTATGTTGCATTGCCTATCTTTTGAATGCAAATACTCATATAACCCACTTTGCTTGGACTTGCATTTACTTCAGTATTTGTTTCCTGGTGGTCCATTGGCTGCCATTGACTAGCATAGAAGTTATATGTAAAATTTATTTCAGATTTCCAGAAATGCAATATCTCCAAAACATTTTGCAAAATGTTCCATTCACCATTTCTTGTATAAACACTCATGGTTTTATTTTTGCTTCTTTCATAATTCATGTTTGAATTATGTATATGGTTTTTTGCACACATTTCAACTAGATAAATTTAATTGCAGAGTCGCTTTCCTTGTGACTAATAGTTAAATATTTTCCTTGCAGATGCAGGCTCAGCTTAAAGTCCTACAGCAGCAATTACAGAAGGAAGAGAAGGAGAAGTCCTCGCTTTTGGAAGAACTGAAACTTGCTCAGGACCAGCTCTCCAAGACAGCCACCAAAGTGAGTCCAGAGACTTTGCCAAATGTGACCAATATCTTGTTGCTTAGTAAGTAGAACTGAGGATTGGGCGTGTGGCTGAAACATTTATAATTTGAAGGAGAACTGAGCTTGGTACATTTAGGCGATTTTGGACTTGAATTATAAGGGAATTGGCCTATTGTATTTGAAGTAGGTGTTAGGCCTGGTGTTTTGGAGGTTAAGGATTTATATCCTGTTGCAAATAATTTGCATTGACTGATGTCACCAACTTTGTGGATGAATTTTCCATTGGCTTGAGATTCTTGTTGAAAAGAAAGTTGCAAAAATTTAATAAAATCTATATTGTTACATTGTAAAATCTTCTAACAACTGGGTTTTAGTAAAATTACTGATGCTAAACCCTCAAAGTGTGTGTATTGTCCAAATTCTCAACCTGACTGGTCAAAATTGTTATATATACACATACTGTACATTATATATACATACATACACATTTATATACATATACACATGCATACATTATATAATATATACAGTATATATATAATATTGTGTGTGTGCGTGCACACACGCATGTACAGTATACATAAAATACACAAAACACACATATATACACATGCCCTTATATGTTTAAGTATCCACTTAGGAAAATGAAACAAATTGTGAATGTCTTGATGTTTGATCACATTATCAAGGAATACAAACAGAAGACAGGGATTATATACCCTACTAAACCTAAAGTCGTGAAGATAAAGATCCAGTTACCTTACTTTATGGAGATAAAGACCCATTAACAAAATATTGAATAAGGGGGAATTGACACGAAGGTGGGATGATTAACTGGGTATTCCCTCATTCTTGGAATGTATTATATCCAATTATTCTTTATATAATTTTATACCTATTACGAATCTTACCAATTATAAAGCTATTTAATTTATATAATCCTAGACTTGTATTAATATTATCTAATTCACTACCTCTTATAAATGAAGATTCAATCATAATTCTTTTGGTACCTTATTTACACTCCACACTTTTGTATGAATTAGTCCTGTCAGTTGAATGATTACAATATTAGTAAACGAACAATGCATTGGACTCTTTGACCCGTCCTTGTGCAGTACTATACTTGGGTTCTTTTATTCTCTCGTCAAGATGTTTATCTGGCCAGCATAGTTACAAAAAGTAGTGAATTAGATAATATTAATGCAAGTTCAGGATTATATAAATTAGGTAGCGTCATAATTGGTGGGATTCTTGATACAGTAGTATAAAATAATGTAACGAATAAGTGTGTGTGTAATATATTCCAAGAATGAGGGAATGCCCAGTTAATCATCCCACCTTCATGTCATTTTCATTGTTCAATATTTTGTTTCTGGATCTTTATCTGCTCCGGTGTAGTGGGTTATGTAATCTCGTACCTTCTGTCTGTATTCCCTGACAATGTGTTCAAACACAAAAGTGTTCTGAATTTTTGTTAAATTTTCCTAAGTGGATATTTAGGCATAGCTAAATCATGGTTTTATTATTATTATTTCATATACAGTATATGTATAAAAAAACTGACTCGCCTTGCTTACTCAGTTTTTTATATAATAGTAGATCTATATTCAAAAGTGGAAAATACAGTATACAGAGGATCGTATGTCTACCCGTTCAGTTACCCTTCTTCTGGCATTTATCAGTACAGTATTGTGATGTGAGCCAGGACTAAACAAAAAATATTTTACACATTTTTTTTATACAAAATATAATTAAAGGATCTATGCAAAAGTAAAAAGAATGTCAAAGTAAATATAGTCAGCCACATGCTTTACGAATGCCTGTCACACACAAATGCCTGTTATCCAATTGGGGCTTCTTCGGATAACTGGTAGGGCAGGTAGTCTGAATAAAAATGTGCGATAACGATGAAACAAGTTTGCCCAGTGACTGTACCCAACACCACATGAGCAGTGTTCATAGACTAATAGATGGCTCAGCTGTTAACTCTGCTGTGACACTGGGTACATTAGACTACATGACAAAAGGCAGTCTGCCAAGGTTACCCCATCACCATTAATCTCCACTTCTGTGAACCCAACACTATCATCATCCACCACCACCATCTTTTCTATCTAAATAACTTGAAGATTATATTTGATGGAGCTTTGATAACAAGCAGATAAGAACATATATTGGCAAGTACAAACAAAACAGCTTTTCAGGATGACTAACCACTTAGCCAAACGCAACGTCTTATCCATTCAGTCTGTCCCAAGGGGTTTGGATAGCACATGGCTGACTACTGGGTTTAGATTGGCCGATATGATGGTGGGACCAGGAGCTAAAGCCTGCCCGACTGCAAATTTTGTGATCTCCCATGACTGTCGAGACACCATTGAACTATTAGAACCACGTGGGTATCAATCTTATTCAAATATTGATGCACATTATGATACGTGATTGGCGCATTACACTAGAACAACAACATGTGACGATGACCGCATTTTGAGGGTTAATAGTTAACTTCATCATGCGATGCCAGTACTCGTCTTAAGGTTCTGGGATGGGAAGTACCGGGACAAAGACACTACAGTGTCACACTTCATAAAGCTGGGTTTATGTTTGACTGTACTTAATAGACAATGTTTTTCAGAGTCCGTCTTGGTGTCTACAGCAGGGAATTTGTAGTAATATTTTATTGTGATTACTGCATGTAGTTTGACTTGCTTAATGTTGAATATGCTTGTATCATTGATAGTGCTTGAATGGATGTTTGGTTAATTTTTGGCAATGACATCTGAAGAAGTTCAAATTATAAGGCAGTTAAGTGTACTTTGCCTCAGATTTTGATTATAAAAATGAATATTTAAAACCATGGCTATTTGAATTATTTTAGTCTTATTGACTAGTGACAAATGATGGGTTTGCTGCAACATTACCATCTTGACTAAAAAAATTTATATCTGAAGAGAAGAAGTGGAGAACAGAATAATGATAAAAAAGTTTGTTGTTCATGATTAATAAGGTTGATAATTGGAGGATGAAGGTAGAGTGTAGAGAAATGAAGGGAAAAAATGGATCAATGAGTTTGGTTGCTAAACATTATGCAACATTGCCACTTGGGTTGTTTCCTCGTGAGTTAAAAATAATGGGATTATAGTATTTCAATTTTTTCTATGGACTTGCTTGTTCCAATCTATTTGGTGAGAATGGCAGTAAGGCTGATAGATGTTGGCAAATCATTTACTTTTAGAACTGTAACTATAGTTTTGTCATGAATAACATATCTGGGTTTACAAGCACATCCTGTGGGTGGTTGGAAAATGTCATCCTCATCACCTTCGAGGTTACTATGTAGAACTTGGGTGTCGTAGATCAATGCTAATTCGACTGTATTGAAAAGGTCAGAAAAATTCTACACTTCAATCCCGTTAGAGCTAATATTATGGAAAATTAACCTGGGATAAGCCATTGATATATAATTCTGGATGGTTTGGGTATGTTGCATAAAGTTTGATACCCTCAGCAAGTGAATTGACATGTTCCAAGACCAACCCTCAGCATTATGTGCAGGGTGGTAGTGATGAAGCAACTTTGCTGGAGCTGAAGACAAACAATGACAAGCTGCGAACACTGGTCAGTGTGGGGCAGGATGCCAGCCGGCAGCAGGAGCAGCTTATCGAACAATTGCAGAAGGAGCTAGCTGCTGTTAAGGTAGGTGATAGACGAGGTGCACGCTTCTTGCGTGATAGTCCCACATTGGGAAATGGGGGTGTTCATGAAGCTGGTGCCACTAGCTAGAAAACACATTTGTCAAATTATGATTTTATCACTCATTTAAATGGTTTGCCATAATTATTGTTGATATTGAAAAATATAAAATGAATGCAAAAGTTTGCTAGCTAGTGATTGTAGACACCATATATTGAGTCAAGATCGGACATCCACCAGTACTGTAAAAGCAAAACCAGTGAAAATTGACAGGTAAGATGGATGTAATGATCAGAAGCAAGATGAGAGATGTACAATAACACGCCTAGTTTGTATTTTGCTAAAGCTTTAATCTGAGCACTTGTTTTTACTATTCCTTTTGGAAGCTGCATGATGGCATCCTAAGCCATTTGTCTTTTGTTTCTTTGCTGGTTCTTTTATTTAGCTTTCTTGGCAGATTTTTGTATATGACGATGCATGTAAATGATTTTGTTAGCTTGATAGATGTTGTGTATTGTTTGCTTAGAAGCTGCGTATTGTTTGCTTAGAAGCTGCATATTGTTTGCGTAGAAGCTGCGTATTGTTTGCTTAGAAGCTGCATACTGTTTGCTTAGAAGCTGCCTATTGGTTTGCGCCGAGGTTAGTGGTGTTGCATGGCTGACATAGACACGTTACTTACCATACTCACCCACAGATCTAGTCATTGGATCATCACCTTAATGGTAATAGGGTAGATTTGTCTTAGTGCTTGAAGCTATGTAAAAACTGTACATGTATAATATTCAAATTGAAACGTCCAATTACTAAATTAAAACTCAGTATGTGTAGCTCATTCATTATAAACTCTACCATCTAAACAATGATGTCCTCTCCCCGGCATCTGTAAATAAACTCGCCATATGGGGTAGGTTACTCTGTTGAGTTCTGAGCCACATGTTTTAAATAGGTAGCTCTAGCTTTTTATTGGAGTAAAAATTAGAATTACAGTACTGTTATATATTAATATTTTTCTAAATATTAATATTAGAAATGACCCCCTGATAATAGTGAAAGTGGATATGGTTTGGAATAGGTAAATATTAATGTACAATACTTACGTCTCAAATATTAGAAGTAGAAAATAATCTTGCAAGCTTTATAGTGGGTTTTGGGTGCTTGCTAGCATTTTCATTAGGGAGAAGTGAGTAGGGGTTGGTGCACTAACACTAGTGGGTGTGTGGTGTTGCAGGCAGCCCTGGCCGCTAGCCGTGTGAGTAAAATGGGCTACATGGCTGGTTGGTTGGGACTCGACAGCAACAACACCATCAACAACAACAACAACTCGATGGAACAGCAGGTGACCATTGAGCTGCTGGTTTCAGTTTTCATGTTGCCCTAGAGCTCCTTGGGTCATCTGCCACACTGGTCCTCTTGACATCCACATCAACCATTGTTGTAATAGTGCAGACATGTATGGATGCAAAATGCTGGTTTTGGTGTTATATCTCAAATATGGTGTCAGTGCATATGAATGTTGTTAGCGTCTAGTAGTAGATTGCATTAGTTCAGATTTGTTTCTGTGCAGAGTCATCAAATTAAAGTGTTTATTGTATTTTATTTTCTCCCTCAAACCTCCATTGCTTGCATTTCCTCTCTTCTGTGTATTTACCTCTAGGGGCCAGCTTTTAGTGTTGGTGTAGTTTATGGTGGTAGCTTTGCTTAAGTTTCACTTGTTTGTGGGTGCTGTCTCATTAATGTACGAGGATTGAAAATTCCTTCAGAATTTAAAAACTTAACTGAATGTGTGAAATATTTTTTTATATTGTACTTAAATGTGTACACATTATCAATACAAATTGTAAGCATACTCTCACTTGTTAGATATGTTGATGTACAAAACATGGCATTTAAACACAAGAACCTCATACAGTGATAAATTTAGAGACAAGTCGTCATATTTGGTAAGTCTTGTATTTTGGGGGGGGGGGAGGGGAATGTGTGTTCTTCCCAGCCACTGTAAAAAGTTTTCACATAACTTTTTTTATATTTTAATGTTATAAAAATAATTGGTATTTTATGCTAGTGTATGTAGGCTTTTGATTTACATAGACACGATGATCCACTACGTAATGTATAGCATTGCATTATTACACTGGGGACAATCACCCCTCATAGGTCATGTAGAGGGTTGTGTGTGTATATGTTTATGGTATGAGCTGTTGCATAAAATACAGATGCAGTATACATGTCTACCTATTTTGTAAGTCAAATTATTCTTAAATGGTAGAATTACAGAATAGTTTTTATCTCCATTTTATTTTCAGTTTAGCTCAGAGAGTTTGAGTTCTCTAGAAATGTAAACAGGCCTAACACACAAACCATTAAGAAGGTTCAATATAAAACATTTGGCAGACAGGTTAACTGACTAGTGTGATGTGATGTCTTAGGAAGGATGTTTCTTTTTGTCAAATTTGTAATTTGTTTCATTTGTTGGAGAGTCACATGTACATATCGAGTGGGTTATTGCATGTGTGTGTGTGGCAACAAGTGATAATTTTTTGTTTAAGTGGACATGATGTATGTTACTTTCTAGCTCAATGCAGTTCATTCTAGCATTGTCAAACATAAGTCAAGTACAGTACAGTATATTGTTAACCTGCTTGAATGTATCATTTCATTAATGAGCCAATATGTTGCAACTGATATTTATTATTCAGCCCATGCTCCTGTTTTGGTAGTACTTATTGGAAGGGTGAGGACCAAAGTTCATATACTGATGTGCAACACAATTAGAAAGTAGAAATTGGTACTACTGAATGTGGACAAACCAAAAAATGATTTTCAAGTTCTACTTATTGCGTAGTACATAAATGTTTGTACTATTGTGGACATAGTTATAAAAATTACTATCTAAACAGGAGGATGGGTTGTATTATTTTCAATAAAATTTTGCCACAATTGTGCAAATGCACTTTTTGGTGCCCATTTTGATACAAAAATCACTGGAAGAACGTCCCCCTTCCTCCCCATTTCTCCCATTTACTATACCATTTGAACCAGAGAAACTTTCCATAGCAACCACTCTTATGAACGGAACAATGTCTTGTTACTCTGACCTTCCACTCGTCGGGATGCATTCAAGCAGGTTTGCACCATCTTTGTTCAAATTTCTTTGCTGTTAAATTGATTTTGTAGTTCCACCGTAGATGCCTTAGCAGTATGAAGGTTGCCTCATCTATATCAATGTATATTTTATAAACGCTTTGCTCTCCAGTTATAAAAAGAAGTGTTAAGTAATTGAATATAAAATTTGAATTTATAAATGGTACCAAAATTAGTTGCTTGTATGAAGTTTAGTACAGGGCAGTACTGCTGGTAGTCTAAAAGTGGCTAAGCTTATTACCCATGGAGCTTATTATACTATACTGTATTATGAAAATTTAAGTGATTTTATTATGTAGCATTTGAGAACCCGTACAAAGAAATTCTGCCATCGCATTCTTGTTCCATTATAGTTGGGAAAATGTTTAATATTGCCATCTCCAATAAATGGATATATTTTTTGTTGATACTCATGTAGTATGGCATCACTGGCTCTCATACGCACGGGAGCACATTATCCAAGTGTAACGTTGATTTGTGATTGAATTAACATTACTCTTATATTGTGCCTCCTGGGTACCAGGCTAGTGCAGTAATGTGGTTTCTGCTGGTTCCATAATGTAACACTTCTCACCTGCTGCTTGTATAAATGTAGCAGTTTATATTTGGCCAAGTTGATGGATGTAGTCTCGGTTTTCTTTGTCAAGAGTACATAAATTGGGAGATTCCTAAAAGTACACAATTATTATGTACTGTATAATTACTGTACTATCACCACAATTAGCATAGCCATCCATGCCTTCACTCCCTACACCTTCACTGTTGAAGATTCTGAGAATTAGTATCCCTGTGGCCCAGTCTCTGACCAGGCCTCCTGATTGCTGTTCTGAGCCTCACACATACACATACATTTTCTTTTCACTGCTTTCACTGCCTTTTTCACTGCTTTATCCTGTGCTCGGTTCATGACCCTAAACTAGTCTTGATACCCACCTCTTAACCTCCACAGTTCTCTCCTTAAAACATTTTATACCCTGAGAGATGCATATCTACGGATACATCTGATTGACTACTTTCAAACCTACCTAGTCTTCTGTTGCAGGAAATTGATTCGGTTATTCTGCTGAAAGCATTATTACTTGGTTTGAATTTGTCATGGCGAGGTAAATTTGGTATAATCAAATGTTTTGTTCAGGACTCCCGATTTCTCTCCCCCTCCCTCCCTTCCTGGTGTAGAATACCTTAGCTGTGGAGACCAGTAGAGGAATAATTGTACAATATATTTTTGTCTGAACATAGTGGGTTTTCACTTTTATGAAATTTAGTTGAACACAAGTCTGAACAAATTATAGTTGGGCTCCATTTTGATTTTCTGGATTAGGTATCCTGATAATGTGGCTAACCAGAATACTGTAATTTGGCCATTTTGTAAAAAATTGGTTACAATGTGTTTCAGAATGTGCACTAAAATTTATTACATTATGGTTAAAAAAAAAAAAAGTATCTGACCCAACTTGCCTTGTCAATGCAAGACCACAGAGCCATTTGATCTGGATAAGCAGCCCATCCTCTTGAGCATTCACAGCGTCACTAAACTGGGGTACTAAGTTGCCCCAACCTAACAGAGGACCCACAAATAGAAAATGAGAAGTTATTATTATTAGTAAGTCAGTTTTTGGCTTTAGGGGGATATACACACTAAAATGTGATGTACTGTTTGAGAGGATGGGTTGGGATAAGATATATCATTGTGGTGTATTTGTGTGTTGCTGGTTATGATGCTCAGTAGCTACACAATATGCCCTCTCCTTTTCACCCCTTCTAAACCAAACTGGGATTAATGTTGAGAAGTCTGTTTCTGTTGTAATGAGGTTCACAACCATTACTTTTACATTTCTTAATTTGCAATGGGAAGGGAAATTAATTCTTCCAGACTTAACACTTCAGCATTCCGATAATGCTTAAATGTGTAGTTTCTTATGTGTCTTTTTTTTTTGGGGGGGGGGGGGGCTTTCCAAAAATAATTTCTGCCAACCACCTATGGCTTAAGGTGATAGTTGCCATGCTTGGGAATATCTTTCTGTGCTTTGCAAATTATCTGCAGGAGAACTATGGAAGTTTTTTCTATAGACCAACCATTTCCATTTTTATGCTGAAATGTAACATTTTCATAAACAATTGTATATTTAGCAGTCATGTATAATTGATGATCAACATTTTTTTTGTATCTATGCTAAATTCATTTGCAAACATTTTGACACCAAATTTAGTTACACCCTAAGCTGAGAAAACCTAGTTCAGTATAAACATTTTAGGCGTCACCGAGTAAGACCTTGAGTTAGCTGAAATATTTACGATCGGGTCTGCATTGACATTGAATGATGTTAATAGACACGCTTATTTCCTTGTATAAATTTTGAACAATTATGTTTAAGGAGAATGACACAAGAAAATATATTAATGGTTAAAGGGGAAAAGTTGTCCAACACAGTTTCTTTATTGCTATCTTATAGTTGCTAACCTTTTAAACTTCAAATCTTGTATAATAATATGGTTAAATATTTGTATGTATGTACCTTATTAAGACAGAGTACTGGCATCCATACAGGTTAACACTTGACTCTGCCCAGCCACTCACCCACTCGGTTTTATGCTCATCTGTCACTCATGGTAGTTTCCCCTTCCCTTACCCTCTCAACTCTCCAACACTGATCAGAGATCTAGTTCTTTAGTGTCAGGCTGGTCTTAGCAATTCTTGGCTTCTGTCTTCCAATTAGGTCTGAAGGCTTCTTGTTTAAACTTGATTGTTTCCTTTTGTTTATGGTACCAATTTTTCTTTTTGTTTACAGGAGACTTTTTCTACTACTTATTGTAAACATGCCCATACTCACATCTTAAACACACTTTCTACACTTTGCAACTGTCTTGCATTATATATAGGTAATTTTGATTGAGAGCTACATATTGATATATAGCCATACTGACTCCACATTTCTGTAATTACTTCTTAAAGTATAGTATTTTCACACAAATGGTCTTTTCCTGGTTACAAACGGTCTTCACACACATTCATGGCTACCTTGCAGTATTTTACTGTATATTTACATGGACATATATTGTTTGATATTTTTAAACAGATCGCATGGTAGGTTGAGTAAATTATACAAGATTGCATTATGCAAACAAGGTCTTTACAGTTGAATGAAGGAAATTTGTTTTGAGCAGCATTTTCATTACTGTTTAACTTTTAAGTTGATAGGTTCAGTAATTATGAGTCTTTTAACCATTTGGATAATGTTTTGATTTCTTCCACAGACTGCTAGCACTAATGGCCCAGCTAATGAGGAGCAATGTCAGGAGGTGAGTACCTCAATATTTGGCCATTAATGTTATGAAAATGTCCCATGTCCCGCAAAACTGACAGGCACAATCTGCAACACAGTTGTAAATATTTAACGAGGTTGAGGTAGACGTGCTCGTGATAAGTACCAAGATGTAATCCTTCTGTAATCCTGGCTTGTTTTTCCTTTGGCTGCTGTCACACTTGCATTGGGCACTTGACATGTTGTTACAGGTGTTCAGTCTTCACCTGTTTCATACCTGAAGCCAGAATTTTAAATTTTTGCAGCAAGCAGTGCTAATATTATTAATGCAGGGCTTATTTGAATGTTGCATAAGCTTTTAATATGCTGTATCGATAACTGCCTAACAATAATTGATTGCTATTTTCTAAAATATAGTAGTTGCACTTCAGAATGAAGTTTTATGTAGCTTCATGTGGCTTAATGCTCTCCTGCACCTTAAAATACATTGCATGTTTACTGGTGCTAAACAATTTGAGTATTTACTAACCGGTTTTGTGTCACCAGCAGAGCTTGAGCACAGCCTTCATGTCAACAGGAAATAGATGTAAATAGGTCAATTTTAAAGTTGAATTGTGCACATACATTTATTGTGTACATTTTTAAAATTTTGAGTGACCCCTAAAGGTCAAGAAGTATAACCTTTATATCTATGGTCTGTTGCATGACAGGTGTGGGAGTGGTGTAGTGATCATGGTGTAAATGAAGTTTTTAAAGGCCAGTGGGAGTGTAGATGTTGCTAAGGGTGTCTTAACAAAGCATGCTTTTCCCCTCCTTACCTTGCTGACTGATGCTACCAGGACAACACTTCGAGGGCCGACACCGCCAGTCTGATGTCTGCTTCCTCTGCTTCAGTCACAGATACTAACACACCTCAGGTTCAGTCAGGGGCATCAGCTAAAAAGGCCAAAAAGAAAAAGAAGGTAAGCAACTTACAAGATTAAACACAGTCTGCCATAGATGTAGAACAATGTCACCCTTAGAGGTTGAACTGAATGAATGTCAAGAAAATACTATGCATACTTGCAGCTTGGCAGCAAAATCATTGAATGAACACTTATTTAAGTACACTATACACAGATTCCTAAGTCTCATATTACACTTGGAGTATTACATTTTTTGACCCATATCAAGATTTTCTTCAAGGTAGCTAATGGTCATAGTAACTGGTCTTTTGCATTTGTATCAAACATATTACTTGCATTTCTATGTTTTCATAATTATAAATATGGCTTGTATAAAAGATTAGCAGACCTTCAGAAGCAATTGGTAGAGAACAAACTGACATGGTTATGCAAGTTTTATGTAAACATGTTAGTTTTGACTCGTTTAATAACATTTATAGGAACTTGCCAAGCCCTGTGGATTGGCAATATCTCACTACTCTGAAATCTCTCCACTGTGTGTTGATTTCTACAACTTGCTAACAGTTGTATTTGGGTACTGCATTGAAGTCTTTTGGAGTCAAATTTGTCTGTATTCCAGTCGAAGAACTCTGAGATTTCTGAGACTGGACTTCCCATTTTGAAGTCTCTCCTCTCCAAATGTTCTAATAGCTTCCTTCTTATGGTCTTGGCCATTACCTTGCCTGGTATTAAAGTGCATCCTATCTTTCTTTTTGTATATTGGTACTACATTGGCTTCCCTCCAAATTTCTAATTCTATTTCTAATTAAATTCTATACATCATAACAGCAGCTTACATTGATCTTTGAATTCAGTGTTCATACCAAGATTTGTCCCCACAGCCTGTCATATTCAGCTCTTACAGGTACCTCCTTACTTTATCTTGGATAATCTGTCCTCCAGCCCTGCTCTATTATGAAAATTTGGAATCTCCTGCAGATTTGTTCACACTCTTCCCTGTCATTTAATAAATGTGTTGGATTCGGTTTAATCATGTTTCATAGTGTTTCCTTCCTCTTGATGTAGCTGTTGAGCAGTTCATGTAAAGTATTTGCATTATCTGCTGTCTTCCTCATTCTTTCTGTTTCAACTTGATAATGGTCCCGGATGGACCAAAACGTCGTCATTTCCTAATCTTCTGGTGTGTGGTTTAGTCTTTTTTCTGCTTCGTTTCTCAGAGGTACTCAGCCTTGTGGTGCCTCATTCTATTCTGTTGCTCCTGCAAAGACTGGCCATACACTTTTCTCAGTCATCTAGTCCACTCAAACCTGTTCTAAATGGGCACAGAATAACGTCCAAGGATAAAAGGTATTTTTCTTTATACTGGTCTTTGATTAGAGATTCATAAGGGTTTCTTATCTTGAGTTGCACAATGCTGCATACATAAGTTTTCCAAACTTTTAAGTGTTGGCCCATGGCACATTGGGTGCGTAATCTCATTCTTCTATGGCTACACATAGCCATGATGTAGTAGTAGTTTGGTATGGGCATGAAGTGTGTTCCTCAGCAACCGTGTTTAGAACAGCAAGTCCCATCATGCTGAAATATGACCGTTGGTGTTTCAAATTTTACTAGATGACTTTAGCCGAGGTATGGCGCCCAAATAGATTTTTTTACTTACAATCAGCACATGCCAATGTGTGTTAATTAAAAAAAAAAGAGGTATCAACAGAGAAGAATACATTTTTATGCCGGAACAAAAAATGATATGCTATTTCTGTGTTTCCACCTTGATGTCTACTAGTTTCATAAGACATGGTTACACTCAACATTTCCCAGTTTGATCAGTTCAGTTTGTCACTTTCAGAAATATAATGCTCAAACATTTGGTCAATCCTCCTGATTCTCCTCTCCCACCCAAAACACCCCCACCCCTACAAAAAAAGTACATAAATACATAATAGTTTAAAACTCCACTAGGTACTCTAAACATAATGCAACATAATATTATGTGGATATTAGCAGTAAAGATGACTTTGGCACTAACCAAGCATCAAGGTGTTTCTCCATACAAGATCTTGAAAACTTGTTCAAGTATGCTTTTTTCCTAAGGTAGGTGGTGGAACTTGTTTGGGGTGCTAAGGATGTAGTAAACATTGCTCTTCATGAACTAGTTCTTCATCTGAATGTAATGAGCTATTAGAGAAATAATGCCACTTTCCGGTTCTCTTAACGAGTCGGTACCTGTACTATTAAAATTACCCTTAAAATTTACTTACTGTCCCAAAAAATGTTGAATTCTGTAAATTTATAAGAAATTAAAAAATTTCTTAATATTAGCACTGAGTGTATAACATTAATACTCATAATTTTACATGGAAATAACCTCATTTTATAACAAATTTAATAAGTTTGACACCAAAGTAAGTTGACTGCACGATTGGCTTCTTTGGTGTCACCTGTCATCTATTTTAGTGTTACAGTATTTTGTTATAAAATTAGCTTATTTCTGTATGTAGCTTTGGTTGTGGAGAGAGAAAATCTTGGAATGACATCCAGTTACATGAGCGTTTTTGGATGAGACGCCCGGAGGCGGTTGTCCTGGCCAGGCATGCGATGGGAGTTGCTGCAAATAAATTTAGACTAATATATTTTAGTGTTACCGATTTTTCTGGGGGGAGCCCCGTCGGCTCCCCGCAGCCATCCCAGGCTGATATGCTAATGTCAGACTTTGGCATCAGTCATGTGTATGGAGTTCTTAGGCCTACCGGGGACCACGGCCAGAACCGGGCCCCATCAGAGAGGCAAGGGGAGCAATGGCCTATAGAAGCCCCCGTGTAGTTGGAAGCATTCTATGTCTGCCATCGACCGGAACAGGCACCCAGAAAGGTAAGCGCTCCAAAACAAACCCCTATTCTGGTTAAAATTGCTACCAAAAACCGAACTAGTGGATAGAACTCCCCAACCGAAAACAAGCAAACTAGTGTGACGTCACACACCGCCGCGCCGCTGTCTGCGCAGCTCCCCCCTCCCCGGGAGGGGGAAGGGGGAGCCCCAGACCCCCCGCGCCGGCTACCCACACCTCAGTTCTTGAGGAAGCGTCTGAGGGTTTCTGCTCTTTTGGTCGTGGTGATTGTTTTGTTCGTTTGCAGCCGTCTCCTTCTTTTCTGGCGAAGAATGAGACTGCTGCGTTCCGGAGGGGTCCATGGGTGGTTGATGCTTGGTTGGTCAGGCCGGGGGTGCATCATGTTTTGTGTCCGGTTGCGGCGCTTCGCCGTTATTTGCGCGCCACAGCTTCTGTGTCCGGGGACGCGCTGTGGGTTGATCCGGTTTCCCTTCTTCCCTGTTCGCGGGTTCGGGTCTCTCAGGTCGTCCGCAGGGTTATTAGGTCCAGCCAGCCTGCGGTCTATCCCTGTGCCCATGACGTTCGTAAGTTCGCGGCTCTTGCTGCCGTCTTTGGGAATATGTCTTGGTCTGATATTCGGGCGCGGGGATTTTGGCGGTCGAACAGGGTCCTGGCTGCTCGTTACCTTGTGAATGTCCCTGGGCCTCGTCGGGCCTGTGTTGCTTTGGGTCGGCGGTTGCAGCCAGTTGTCTCTGCTTCGAGTTGAGGGGTGAGCGACGACCGCCTCCCGGGTAAGTCCCTCTTTTTTCTGTCTGTGGGTAGTTGGGGAGCCGATGGGGCTCCCCCCAGAAAACCAGCGTTGAATGTAATGAAACGCCATTTTCTGGGCGAGTCCCGGAGGCTCCCCGGCATCCCTCCCTCCCTCCCGGTCGGCGGTTTTTCGTGTTTTTGACATCCAGCCTCAAGAACTGAGGTGTGGGTAGCCGGCGCGGGAGGTCTGGGGCTCCCCCTTCCCCCTCCCGGGGAGGGGGGAGCTGCGCAGACAGCGGCGCGGCGGTATGTGACGTCACACTAGTTTGCTTGTTTTCGGTTGGGGAGTTCTATCCACTAGTTCGGTTTTTGGTAGCAATTTTAACCAGAATAGGGGTTTGTTTTGGGGCGCTTACCTTTCTGGGTGCCTGTTCCGGTCGATGGCAGACATAGAATGCTTCCAACTACACGGGGGCTTCTATAGGCCATTGCTCCCCTTGCCTCTCTGAGGGGGCCCGGTTCTGGGCGTGGTCCCCGGTAGGCCTAAGAACTCCATACACATGACTGATGCCAAAGTCTAACATTAGCATACCAGCCTGGGATAGCTCCGGGAAGCCTCCGGGACTCACCCAGAAAATGGCGTTTCATTACATTCAACGCTGTTTTTTTTTATTATTATTATTATTATGTAAGTGTGTAATTTGATAAATTTACACAGTATAGTATAATAAAACATGCAGAACATAGATATGCAGAAATACATTCATGTCACTTATGTGTTCACACTATTGTATTTTTTTTGGAGAATACGTTTTTGCTATTATCGCGCTACACATGTTGTATATAATTATCTACATATTGATGCACCATTGCAAACCACTAAGCAGTTCTGGTAAGTGTGATTAATGTGCATAACCATTGATCACAGTACCGTACAGCATAGCCACAAACGCTCGTCACTACTACTCGCATCATTAACTTGAGCCAAACACTGCTATTATCAGAATCCTGGTCACTGAATCCCGAATGTGAAGTACTTGCACGTGTTCTTACTCTAAAGGAGCATGAGGTCCTGTTTTGTGATTCATAGATACACTGAACCGTGGCTGGGCTGCTGCTGCTCTTCTCGTGATGCTGCTGCTGCTGCACTTCTCGTGATCTGCCCCGTCCTTCTTTTTCATTACCCCTTATTCGATGTTGCCATCTGTTCTCTTCCTCGCTATGGTTCCTATGGCATACAGAAGTGTTTGTTTCTAGGTGGAATCCTGATTGTGCTTGGAATGTACGCTGTAAGAATGCCTCCTGGTAAAAGTATTGATGCCAGCAAAGGCCTAAATATTTAATTCTGTTTTGGAATGCGAGTGCAATGCCCATAGGGTCATTTGTACATCGAAATGTGAGGCTTGGAAATCTACATCTGTGAGAATTTACTCTTATTTAAACATTAAATAATTTTTGTAAATACAAAAATAAAATTAAATGGGGTGGCACATCCAGGCTCTTTGTTCAGGAACAGTCCTGGTATGTAATCCTACATTAGCAATGTTTGGTGAAAATTGATACAAATCAGTGAAGCGAAAGCTACTGGCACTCTTGTTATAGATCTAGCCAAGTTTATTTATAACTACCCTGGTATATGGTCATAAATTTATTATCAATGATTAATTAGTGTCAGTGTTTGTTTTTAACAAGATTTTGATCTTTACTAACTACAATTATTCTTTGACTTATTGAAACTGACTTAGTTGAGCTCAACAAGCCCATGGTATAACGGAAACTTTGTTATAGGCTAAGTCAAAAAGTGTAACAATACGGATCCAGTCAAAGCTACCACAAACCACCTTTTCTGCATAATGGAGTTGTTAATGATGTCTGGGTTGCTCAAGTCTTGTAGCATGAAGACTTGCCCAATATCAGTAATGAGGCACTAGTAGTTACGTTAGTCTTAAATCCTGTACAGTGATATAGTCTCTTAAAAGTTCCATGAAGCACTAGATATGCCCTCACGAGGTAATGTTTATAATCTGTCTAGTGTCATCTACTCCTTGTCCATGTACCAGGTAGCTGGATTCAGCTGCCTAGACAGATTTAGACTTTTTTTTTCTTGCTATTCTTAATTTTGTGATTATTTCTAGTGTTCCTCTATCAACAACCCTATAGGGATTATATTATCTTGGTTAGATAACGTTTATAAATTATTTTCAAACGCACAGACTTTCTTAGATTGTGACGTTGACAGCTGCTTTGATTGCAATTTTTGTTATTGTTGGAGGCAGCCACATGGTTATGTTCTATACAGTATATAGCCATAAACCACTTGGGTTCTGATTTAAATACAGTATAGTCATATCAACCATGAGGTCTCTTTGTATGTCATCTGTGGATATAAACTTGGATATGCTTTAATATCTTACATAACGGTGGATGATTTTCCACCAATTACTGTTAGGCACCCTTCTTTGTGTCTGGAAGAGAATCATATGATTATGGATAAATTTGTTCCAAACATTTATTCCTTTTTTTTTCTTGGTTCTGTTGTTACAGATCTTGTGCTGGTCATGAACGAACTGGGTTTGCATTTTTCAGCCATTAGCTCCAGTACTTGTCTTTCTCCCACTTGTAAGCCCCATGGACTTGGCGCACTCCTTCATCTCCTCGATAACAATCTCTTCACTCTTCCTGAACTCCAATATGTCTTATCTCACTGGAAATCTATGGCTGAGAACCCAGTCTGTATTCACTAAGATCCTAAATCATCTCCCTTTGTGTTTTGCAGATTTTGTTGCATATCTTTTAACTATTTTGGGAAACATCAACAGTCCCCGAGGACTGTCTTGAAGTGTCTTCCCATTAGGAAACTAAGTACTCGGAGGACCTTAGATGTTTTGCCCAATTGCACTGATGAGATGTCTGCAAATGTTTTTAATGTACATCTTGTGTGTGGCTGAGAACATTGCTACCCCCACCTCTTCCCTTCTCAAGTTGACTTACACAGGTCTTGACTGATATCTTAATGGACATGGGCTAAATTTGTGCAGCTTTTGCTTCAAAGAGCTCTATAGTATCCATTTTTTTTACCTAGAAAATGCTTATGACACTGCCTGGAGATAAAATATTTTATCCCACTTTTTTGGGGGGAGGAGGGGTGCTTTTATACCTGCTGCTTTTCCGTCAATGCTTCATTTCTCAGTGCTAATTTAAAATGAAGCTTGATACTCGTTTCTCACTTTCAACAATATGTTGATGTTCCCCCAAGGTAGTGTTCAGAATACTGTACTTACTGAAATTTGCCTGCAACCAGAGACAATATGGTGGGACTGAGTTTAATATTCTTTAAAGTGTAAGGTATTTATTTGCAAAATAATGAAATATTTGAAATAAGAAAATTTTAAACTAGTGATAAGCACGTGTTTTCAGATACTCACAGTTGTTCTCTAATTTAATGTGTGCTCAAGTTTTTACAGGCGCCTGAAGTTAAAGGAATTAATGGCCGAATAACATCTTAAATTAAGATACAATTACTTTGTACCTCTTTATCTTGGAGCATTTGCAAATTTAGTACAGCAAATATTTTAGAATGTTTAAAGTGCTTGCAAATGAATATTTTAGCACATTGGGAAAAGATGTGTAGGTTTTGGTTACCGGGTAGTTATGTTCTGATTTTTATATTTCTTCCTGTTAGATGTGGATTAGCTTTCTAGTGCGTAAGTGTTGCATGACCCCGTGTGTCTTGACTAACGATTCGCTTGTTAATAGCTCGTTAATGATGGTGCCCACTCATTTTATTTGCCTCTTTGCAAACTGTTAACCCCATTTTCTTATTTCAGGGATTTTTTGGAAAACTAATTGGCAAAAGCACTGACCCTTAAGGTATTTCCATTGTTCCTCAGTTGCATTGGTGTTGTAACCTTGGTTGTCCTTGGTTGGCAGGCCGACTGATGCACGTCACGCACATGCCTAGTACCTTCATTTTCCTGTGATTTTGCTCATGATTACCATTGATTTTCATGGATACCAGTGTGTTCATTTTTACACTGCTTTGTTCTTAAGTGTGACATTGATATTTAATGAGCACAAAGGAGGTATTCTGGTAAATCAATACTATAGTGATTAGTCACAGGTGAAGGCATCACTGTATTTAGCTTTTGCTTTGATATTAGACAATTTTATAGCGTTATTAGTATATGGTAATTTTAAAGGGGTGTGTAATTGAATAATTAATGAACTATATGCTTAGTTTTAACTGAAGCATGTATTATGAATTTATATAATTTTGTAAAGTTTGGGGCAGTGTGTTTGTGGCATTTACCAGTATTCAGTTTAGTGTATTGGTTAGTAGAGAACATGCACTTGCATCACACCATTATGTGGCTTTGAGTTTGTACTGCTATTCCTGTTTGTTGACCTGGGTTTGTGATGACATTTTTTCATCTTTTAGTAATCCTTTGCATGCTGGTTTGTTTGTCTTTCTTTTTTTTAATTTTTTTTCCCCTAATGTGTAACTCCGTCATAACATATTGGAAACATTTCTGATGAGACTAAAACAGCAATATGTAAAGTTTGACGAAGTCCTCATCCATTTGGATACCTAGCTTGTGAAGGTAGGAGGTTGTAATTCTCTTATTAGAAAACATCCTCACAATTGCTTGTGTAAAATGCATGGGGATGTATATGTGAAAATTGAAAAAAAAAAGATTTTAGTATTTGTAAGTAAAGTATAAATGTTGCCTTTCTTAACATTCGCCTATTAGAAAAAAAGTTTAAATGATCAATAATGAAGTCGGCTATTGTGCCCAAAATGGTTTTTTCCAAGTACAGTAGATAATTTTTATCACAATATTGTTACATAGCTTTCCCGGTTTGGTGCCTTCTTTTTGATAATTACTTACTTATCACAATATTGTAATGGTTTGATTTTAAGTTTGTTTATAGGGGCATAAATAATTCTATATAAACTGATAGTCTTGTGCAGCAAATTATTGTTGTATTATTTATTTCATGGTATTGCATTAACATTGTTGTGCTTGTAAATGGGACAGGAATTAAGACTCCCTGAGAACAGAATGTTGATGGTATGGTCTTTAGGCATATAAGATGGCATTGACTGTGTTAATTGATAAAGTGTAAGAGTGAGGACCAAGGTGGTGGGCAAATGGTGTACACGTGAGAGACATCTTGGTAAGAGGCCATGACAGACTGATATGCTAGGGTGTGAATTCCATTTTGACAATTCACATAGTTAATTTACCGTCTTGGGAAAGTAAAGCTTTGCCATAGATGGTAATAATTGACCTGGTGCTGATAAGTTTGGTAGGTTTAATGGAGGTTACCAATTACTGTATATCTACTCCATTCTCTTAAAGGTGTTCAATCCGAGCAAGTAATGTTTGCTTCACACTGTCATGCGTCCCTTGATAAAAGCCTCGGTGAATGACTCGTTTGACATCGATTATTTTTTTTCTGCTCACATAGTAGCGTCTTAAGTTATATCTATGAACTCTCAAATATTCTGTAACAGAATGCTCTTTAACTACTGGTTTAATGCTACTTTTGATACTTAATCCCAATAGGTGATTTCTTACTTGGTCCACAAACACAAGAAAATAGGTTAACAAGACCTCTATTACAGAAGCTTGAGTTTGCACTATACATGCTTTGTTTTTGTTGACAAATATATTAAAATATGACTTCAAGGTTATTGTCAGCATGCATTGACATTGGTGCAGTTATGTGCATTTAACAAAATAGTAGTTTTAAGTATTAACATCTATATAAGGAAAATCGGTGATCGATGAACAAAAATGCAAGGTATTTTTTCTTTCAATGATGGCAATTGTTTTGTTTGACACAATATTTGTTTCCTCCTCCTTATCTTCCTTCTTGTTGCTAATTTTACTTTGCTACAAATATATTACTGATGCTGTGTTACAAATCCTAACACTCCCTCCCTTCTCCCTTTTCACAAGTGTTTAAACAATATATTGATAATAAAAGGTTCTGAAAAGTAAACATCATTGGCTCATTGTATATTGTTGCACAGTAAGTTAGCTAATGTTGGATATTCATTATGTAAATAATACTCAACAGAACAGCATTTTTAGGTTGTCGACCCATTTCCTGCTTACTCCAAACCAAAAATATCCATAATAAACTAACTTATCCTAACTTGAATGCTGAATGACTATAAGGGTGCTTGGCCGATTGTGCCTAACCAAAAAAAAAAGAAAATGCCTAGTTTATCTGCCACATGCAGGTAGTATGGAAAACCATGACTGAATGGTAGGAGCAAGTTGTAAAAGGTGCGATTTGACCTAATTCCTAAAATTGTCACCTTTCATTTTATTAAAGAATCGCCACATAGACACTGCTGTTAATATTATTGCTTATTTTTATCTGTTATGTAGAGCCTGTTCATCCATGTTGTACAGTATATATACACACTTAAGTTGTTGGTTGACATACTGGGCATTGATGAAAAATTTATGCTATGCAGGATAATATGTTTATAGCATAGATTTTAGTTGTTAGAAACTTGAGACAAGACAATATAAATACTTTTTAGAACATGAATGAGGTAGGTTATAGGAACTGTAATTAATTTTGTTGTTTTGCTTTCTGCAGGGTGCTGGTGCCACGCAGTGACAAGTCAGATTGGGGGCAAGCAAGCAGCCTTGACCTGCAAGAATTTCACCGACATTGGCTCACGTCCATTCTTAGCCATGGTGTCGGTGTGTCCACTAGCACTGTAATGACTTCTGCCATGAAGATCTTTCAATTTAACTGTATTTTGTACTAAGCTTCTTTTGTAGGAAGAGAAATTGAAATTGTTGCTTCATGGCAGATTGTTTCATGTTGGGACCACATGTGGGTAAACCTTTTGAGCTGCAATATTAGTATAATTTTGTATTTCTGTGCTGTTTATGGGTAATAGCACTATATTCCTAAAGTAAATTTTTTAAGGGTAATGACGGGCAGTTATTGGAGACTGTTACCAGTAGAAGCTCGTTTTGGGTTGTGCAAAAGTTCAATTCCCAGCATGTTTCTCTAAGATTGAACTTGTGTAGGTTACCCACTACTTAGATTTTATCTGTAAATATATATGTATATATACATGTATATGTATATATATACATATACAAGTATATGTATATATTTGCACGATATAAATACTGAAGTGAGATGACAGATTTCATGTGGCATTTTAAAGTGCAATGTTGCCAGTGGTGGTGAAGTCTTGCAGGACAGTCTCGAGCACATAACATATGTTGCAATTGGCAGTTTGTTTCATTAAGGATACATTTGTTTACTTTTATATGCCATGAAGAGTACCATTGTTGAAACATTATTTTATGCCATGAGTATGACCAGTAGGGAAAGAGGTTTGGTGGCAGATCTGGTCACCCCAAGTGTCATGGGTGCACCTCTTTCTTTTGGTTTCATTACTGCAGGGGGTAGGGGGCATTTGCCAAGCATTGATTTAGACTTTGTTATTATTCCTTAGGTTCTTTTTTTGAGTTTTTATTTTATTTTATTTTGAAGACTTTGTTACTATGCAGCAGGAGCATTCTTTGGTTCAACTGCTATACTTTGTTACAAAGCTCATTCCAGTGATAATTGCCCTTTTTATAAGGGTTTTATTTTCTCTTCATAAGGACAGCTAAGTAATGTACCATTGAAAAAACTAACAATATGGTTAAGGTTATGTTCTAGCTTTCACATTCATGGATTATCTTGACGTTATGCATACAGAATTACTGAGAGTTAGATATTCAATACAAATTGTGCTTTTTTTATATATGGCAGCAGCAGTGGTACATAATTTACCGATTAATTTTGTATGACAAGCGGAAGACAATTCCAGTAGGCCATTAAGGATACTTTTAAAGTTTCCAGTCCATTCCGGGTGGGCTTGCTTTGTCTTCTGATGCCTTGCGTCAGCATATCCAGTACTGTGGTAATAAACCCCGTAGACCAAGATTACTGTTACTATTTTGTATGGTGCAAGGAGCCAAGAACACAGTGTGGCAGTTTGTGGTTGTCCTAGGGGCGGGTGGCATTACGTGGTATCTTGTTTAACCTGGACACATTGTAAGAGGGGTATTGGGATGGCGTTTGGTGCTTGCTTCCCTCTGCACATGAGAGGTTATGGATCATCAGTTTTTTTATGGTGCTGCAAACCTGAACATTTTTAGTTGTTAATTTCAACCATGACACATCTCTGCCACAACTCTTCTAAGATTGTACAAGACTTCTTTCTGGTGAATTATAGCAACATGACTATACTTGTACATTTATTAGTGGTGGTGTTGGCAGGAAGGATGTTGTTTGGTTGTTTGAGGATGTAGGGTAATTGTACAGAAGATGTAGCCCTTCATTATTTGTACAACAATCTAATCGTTGGTTTAGTTCTTAGCCATTGATGTTGAATGTCAACAGTTCAATGGTCATATCACACCAGTGCTATAACTTAAATTTCGTGCCCGTGTGCTGCCCTGTCTGGCGCGTGAGATTGTTACCTTGTATCCCTAAGGGGTATTGCTGGGGACCTGGTATTTCAACACAAATACATGGTTTATCAAATTAAAGTTTTATTTAACCTTTTATATAATGTTTGTATACGTACTAAATTTAAACATTAAATTTCCACAGACAAATTTTTTTGTTTTTGAACTAACAATCTTCTTGAAATAGAAATAAACCTCATTGTTATGAAGCTATTTTAGCATCCTAGTAATTTGGGTTTCTGTTGCAAGGATAGTTATAACCATTTAATCTTTATGCATTGGTAACTTATTTGTTCCAGAAACTTTAGAAAAGGTGGCTATGGTGGGGAAACCCCCCCCCCCCCTAACAAAAATTAACCATGAAACGTATATTTGACTGCATCATATGGAGTCTCTCAAATTCATAGTGTGATAAATTTGAGGGCCATCTTGCCCTTATTGTCTGTTCCATTTGCCTTATGCCCTTGTTAGGCTATAATGTGTTGTGTACTGTGTGTATTCCTACACTGTCACCTTTGGGGAGGATATTGGTTTGTGCATCACCAGCCTCTTGTACTTCGCTCATAACCACCAGCTCCTCATGAAATCTCTGCTACACAATCCTTTTGATAGGTCTAAAGCATATTTAATGCAAGTGATTTAGCCATCTTACAAATTGGCACCACATTTGCAACTCTTCCACCTCTTTGTTAAGACTACTGTGTAAGTTATTAAATATGCTGGACAAGGACTGGCTGAGTTCATCGTTACGTTCTTAAAGGGCAATTTCAATTTTTCTTGATTATGCACCCCATACCCATCCTGTGGGTGGTGGTGGAAAGGGTTACAGAGGCACACTGCATACTCTAAAGAGTAATGTGTCCTTGTGGCCTTCCTCCTACCACTATAACCGGCAGGAAAACGGCTCTGGCAAGGTTATATATTGGTCATACACGTTTAACTCACAGGCACTTAATGGAGCGCTGCCCTGCTCCTTATTGTTCAAACTGCATTGTCCCTCTTTGTGTTCTAGGGAAAACATGGTGTTAAATAGTCTAATTTATTCATTTTATTTATTTATTTATACTGTATACAAGAAGATACATTGGTTGTGAGAGAATATAACATTGGTGTTCTTACATTCTTGCACTTAACACACACAGCATTTTGGGCATGTCCTTAATCTAACAGATAAAGTAATAGTATTAAAAGATACATTGTAGCAGAATTTGAGTTCAACATAACTACAGTACAATATAAATTGATGATAATGATTGATTATACTGAAGCTGAATACCTTTGAGTACTAAAAATGGGGGTAGTGGGTAGTACAAGATGGTGAGAGTTTGAAGCACAAGGTAGCAAACTATGAGGATGAAATTAGGTACAGTACTTTGCTTCTGAAGTAAAGTACTTCATAATACAATCTGCATAGGTTGTACATTTTTTTTTTTTTTTAATTCCTTAGGGAGCGAGTTCCATAGACTGGGTTCTTTTATTTGCATAGTGTCTGCACAGATTTAGTCTATGGATATCAGATTTTATATTTATTTCTCGTGTAGTGTTCATGGGTTCTACTGTATATATCAAGGAAGTATTTCAGATCAGGATTAGCATTTAGTAGCAAGGTTTTTGAACATGTACGTGTGTTAGTGGCATGCATGGAGAACGTGATTTGTGTGATTATGGAGAGCATGCATCTGTTGGTGTTGTGAAATGCAATTTTGTTGTAGATTATTTTTTTTTACTTTGTGTGTGTGTATGTATGTATAACAAGCAAAATTATATAGTGTTATTGTATTTGTTGTATATATTTTATTGAATGCTGGAATAGGTATACCATCAAAAAAGGGTGCTGAGCTTGTATGGGTATATATCATGAAATGCTGAATGTCTCCTATGTTTTAGCTTGTGGCTGGCTAGACCTACTTTTATGTAGTGATAAAAGTGGCAGCTTATTGCAGCGTTGCTCTATACACTATACTCCTCCAAACCCACCAGCTGAATACTTGTATCCCACAGTCTCTTGGCATCTGCATCACTCACTGCATGGGGGTATGGTTGCTTTTCACTGCAGTCACTGAAATGCATAAGCAGAGGCATACATAAGTATGCATATAATAGGCATTTAAAAGGCAGATACTGTAGTTAAATAATGGTTACTCGGGGTTCGGAATTTTGGAACATTTTCCTTGCATCCCAGATATTTGCACCTGACCTGGTACACTACTGCCTACCTGTAGTATTTGCCAGTGTGTGTAGCGATGTCCTCGCTGACAGTGCAATAGATGGTGGTCTGTGCGCCCCGCTCCACTGTCTTGAAGAAAAACTTGCCAAAAAAGTGGAAGGCCCAATGGATAAAGCCATTGACGGACTGGTTGATGTAGCGGCCTAACTCCGTCTGCACCACTCCTGGATGAAGCGAGTAGGTGGTCACACCTGTTCCTGCATGGTCCAGGTAATAAGCTTTGAGTATGAATAAACCTGTGCAGCTAGTGTAAATAAATGCAGGTATTAGCTGACACATACACACTTTGTTTTAAAATTATGAATGATAAAATATAATAGAAAAAAGTTATACCATGAGTATGGATCTCCACTTGTAGCTGAACTAATAAAAAGGTCAAACATACACTTGCAAGAATTTACAGGCAGTACTTAAAATACAAAATACTGTGGAGACGCACCGTGGAGTTGCTTAGCTAGTTCGTGTGTGAAAAGGATGTTAGCAAGCTTGCTCTGACAGTAGGCCTTCTTGGCGTCGTAGTTCTTCTTTAGCTGCAAGTCCTCCCAGTACATCCTGCCCTCTGCTGGAGGCATGAGCCAGCTGTTAGTGATGCTGGGGACTGGGCAAGAGGGACTGAATGAATGCTGTTAGCGGCCCTATTGAAACTGGTGGAAGTTAAGTGAGTAGAGAAAATTTGTCAGTGATCCTATCGAGAATGACGGAAGTTAAGAGGCAGATAAGTTGGCAATACTCTTGAGAGGCTATGTTTGAGAGAAATAAGGTGGTTTTTGCGATGAGAAATTGTATTTTGATTGTTGTCGCCGGAGGCACACAAAAAGTACAGGACTTGTATGGCAAGCAGTCAGTCCAGGACCTGTTGGCCAGGGTAAGGTTAAAGAATGGCAGAATATACAACGCATCTTTATAATCCTAATATTGATTGCTATTAGTGCTAGTACTAATTGCAATAGATATTTTAATATTAAAATTGTCTATAATGAAATGGGTCCAGATGATGTACATGACTGATATCTCTTCGTTGGAAGAGATGTCCTTTCACTTTGACACACCTCGAGGTGTACCAGAGTTTAGTTTAGTTTAGCTTATTATGCACCCCATACCCATCTTGTGAGCGGTAGTGGAAAGTGTTAGAGGCACATAATGGGCTCAGGGACTGAACCCCACAATTCATTTAGCTAAGCAAGTTACAATCTTGATGAGCTAGTTACAAAATTCAATGCTCATTGTCACATCATCATTGGGCTCGAGATCGACCACAAGTGCAGTTTCTAAATTAAGCAACTGACATATGTGGAGAGCTAGTGTCACAACTGATATGTTTGTCCTGCACACCGCCCCCCATCCAGTGGATAGGTTACAATCACTTAGTTACTACCTACAGTTAGCAAACTGGGGATATTTAGTTAAAATTTCTGGTAGCAGATCATTTTGAATTAAATATTTACACATCTCTGGTACATTTATTATAGAATTGTCTCTGAATTCACGTATATTTTCGCATTCCATCACATAGTGACGGAGGGTGTGCTAATAATTTTGTAGATACAGTTTACATTTGGTCAAGTCTCCATCAGCAGATAATGAAAATTCCCAGAGATACTTGTAACCGAGAGTCACGTTTTTCAAAGTATTGATGCATAGACTAATAGTTGCCATACCTACACAAGCTGATCGATGATGCTGCCATCTACCATGCAGATGACTTCGAGGAATGATAGCCAAAATATGGGAAGAAGTTAATCAGGAAAGATGGGAGTTTTAAAGATAGAAGGAAATATAAATGATGGGGCAGAGTGGCACAGGGAGGATGTGAAGAGAATGGCTAAATATGATGGGCAAGAAGAGAGGTAAATCAATCGGGGAGTAATTCAACAAGAAAATAAATCCTAATTTCATAAATGTTTTCGTTATTTATTGTATTATTTTCTAACAGCTCCATAAATACCGACTCAGGTGTGCAGTTTTATTCATAGCATCCCTTGGCCGTCAACCAGACCAAAATATACAGAATGTGAGACGTTTGGACGACCTCGCAGACGTCCTACTTCAGAGTATTGAGTGACCCGTAGGAACGGAAGGGGATTATCAGGGAAAGCGCCAAGCCATTGCAACTATACAGCAAGAGGAGGAGGAGCACTTACGTGTGTGAGCGATAGAGGAGACATTAATGATCCTGGAGGGGGCTGAGGCCTTGAGCTGACGGAGGAGCAGCAACGTCAAGAGGAAGTGACCCAAGTGGTTGGTCCCCAGCTGCATCTCGAACCCGTCCTTCGTCTCCCACCGCGGACACATCATCACACCTGCCACAGGGACACGTGGCTAGGTAAGGACACAGCTTTTGACAAGAGGTTATAAATATGAAAGACATGTAAACAAATCCAAGGGCCGTGACGAGGATTCGAACCTGCGTCCGAGAGCATCCCAGACACTGTGTTGCTTTTCGCTACACGAGCCTCGTAGTGACAATACGGTTTACCTGAGGGCTACCGTCTTTAGTGGCCTTGACGGGGACAGGAAGACAGCGCTTGTCTGGTTTACAGTCTTGTTTGTCCTGTTGCCCTCAACCGTTCCTGGTATGACTTTCCCTAAAGTAGATATGTCCTTTTGAAGGTGAGGTCTGTGCTTGGATACAGTATTCCAGATGGGGGCGCACCAGCAACCCATCCTCGACTCTTCACTCACGAAGTACATTCCATCCAGCGGTCGACCCCACAGACGCATTCATAAATTTAACATGCTGTTCATTCAAAACGGGAATTTTCTCAAATATAAATTAATATTATAATATATAAGTATAGTGTGCATATATAGACATAGGTTAGGTTAGGTGTTTAGGTTCTGTTGGCGATTATTTGTATTTGTATTTGAAGCATTTACAGCGTTGTGGGTCGAACAAAAGTCGTGAGTGAAGCACTTGTTCCGGAAGTGGTGCACATAGCCTTCCCGGCTTGGTGCCTTCTTTGATAATTACTTACTTGTTCCGGAAGTGTTCGAAGGAAATCAGTTGTGAGTCGTGTGTAAACCGTTTTTCATTCATAAACAGGGAGTTTGGCGGGTGCATGGAATCACTTTTGGGTCTTTGTTTGGAGGACGGGCTGCACACCAGACTTGTACAGTGGAATAACTACCTTCTTTTCCTTAAAGTGAAAGGTTCGTTTGACTATTCAAATATCTTTTTTATTTTACTGCAGCTCCTATGATTTGAATAACTTTCTTCGCCAATCTGCTTCATAATAGTGATGTTGATTTGATAGTTGTAATGTGCACTGTTATGCCCTATATGCAAGGTCTTGCATTTTTCAGTACTGTATTAACAACCATTTTCCAGTCTTCCGACCATTCGTGAGGTTAATGTAGATCTTTTTCTTTGTAAGCCCTCAATATCGTTTTCCTTTTCTACTTTACCATAGATTTTATAGTGTTATCTGCAAATTTGATGATGTGGTTTGTAATATTTTCATCTGTCATTGATATATATGACAAAAAGGGTTGGCGCCAAGATGGAACCTTGTGGTACTCCACTCTATTGCGTCCTGGCCCCTATTATATTGCATGTAGGCGCCAGGATCGTTAGGGTTAGGCGATCTGTTTCTAGACTGCAGACTATTTCTATATCTAATTTCGGGAAAGTAGCTCCCCTGGGGACCGAACTTAGCCTAGCCCCTATTGGTGGTACTCCTGATACCTTGTTTGCACACTAATACCACGTTATAACACACCACATTTTCCCAGTCAGATTCTCACTCATAACACACCTCTCTCAACATCCTCACTTCCACATTCCTCTCACTGCACCATTACCCATACATCCCCTCTCACCTGCATTATTGATTAAAGCGTGGATGTGGGGCTCTGTCTGCGAGAGGATGGCAGCGGTGTTCCTGACTGACTCTAGGGAGGCGAGGTCCAGGTGGTAGACGCCCACGGTGTTCCCTGTCTCCTTGTTGATCTCCTCCGCCGCCACTTTCGCCTTCTGCAGGTCCCGGCACAACATTACCACCCGGGCTCCTGCCGGAGTCAAACACCATCAAGGGATTTGCTTTGAAAGTGGTTACCGAGATCATTCGAAGTTGTGCGGACAATTAAATTTGGAGGAATCTAGCAAGATTATGGAGTCAAGTAATATAAATGTAAATGATGTTTCTGAGTTAAACAAGTTTTACAGTTTGGTAAAGCCATAGGAAGATCAGTGGCACATACGAGTCCAGTGTTAATAATAGTGACTGACACACCACTGACTCACTCGGCTACAACACTGACCACTTATTCATACTGATCTAAACCTAATTGGCGATCCAGCCACCGCACTGACCTAGAATAACTTACCCCGACGAGAGAGGTCCCTGGCGGTCTCCTTGCCGATGCCAGTGTTGCAGCCCGTGATGACCACCGTCCTGCCGTCCAGCCTGGCCTTGCTCCTGCAGGTGGGACCTTGCAGCCACGCCCGCAACGCCGCCAGGCATCCGCCAGCACCCACCACTACCGGGAGGAACCACATCAACCCCCGAGAACACACTGCTTGTCATATATTAACACGTAAGTGGGAGTACTATACGACAGGCAGGGGAAACACATCGTGGACGAGAGAACCAGCATCATCTATATGTAAAGGTTGATAAACAATCGCTTAAAATATTGTATCATGTTTGGCAACGTGCAAACAAAACATGCATTTGTGACCTTTTCACAACCACTCACAGCATGGGTATGCATGGGGTGCATAATTAATTAACTTAATTAAAGTTGTGTTTACACCTCCTCTGCATGTTGCAGTAGCTGTACATGATATATTAATTTAATTAATTCGTGTTGTCTGCGACAGGAAGCCTGAGCATATATGTTTTTTAAGATTTTATTGAGGCCCCCCCCCCCCAGGGTCGAACTACTGACCCTCTCCAGGATGCAACCTAACAACAGTTACCTAACTCCTGAGTTCCGATTTACTGCTGGATAAAGAGAGGCATTAGGTGAAAGAAAACATGCCCAACTATTTTTAACTTGCCTGGGAATCAAACCCGGGACCCCAAATTGTCAGTTGCGAACGAACTAAATTGTAATACTAGACCCTCTAACTCTAAATTATTGAACTTTCCGCTTTAGTACAACATTAACTAAGAAGCAGATCTGGAGTCAGTATTGATGACCTTAACCACACTCAGGTCATTTACCAATTCCTATTAGCAACAATTAAGACATCAGTTTTGGTACAAACCAAAATTATTAAAAATCAAATGTTTTACAATCGACAATCGACTTGAGAATGGTCCAGGACGGACCGAAACGTCGTCGTCCCTTCATTTTCTAGTGTGTGGATTGGTCAACAATCAAATGTTTTAGTTATAATTAATAAGTATTACCTGTGGATGTTAGAAGCAAGTAATACACTAACATAGCGGAGTATTGGGGTGAGCCAGTCCTCCAGCCTGACTCCCAGATGGTTACTGCTCCTGGCCACACACTCACACCTCCCCGAGCTCTCCAACAGGTGGACAGCGACAATACATACACTGGCCGGACAGGACGTGACGTGAGAGACTGATAAAGACCTTTTGTGCCCTCTGTAATGCTTTTGCGCTACCGCTCACAGGATGAGTATGGGGTGCACAATAAACTAGCCGCCTTCGGCGGCAACAATCAAATGGAAGACCCACTGCCACCAGTACACAGTCGTTGGTCCTGACTCCTGGTGGGTTCTCTCTCACGCTGATTTATATAAAACATGTGAACAAATATTTTGTCGAACACCGTGTGTATCTACTGGATATTAAGGTTGTATATTGTGATGTAGGTCTTAATGAGTTAACGATGATTGATAGCTGATGTGATCAGAGTGTATAATGTGACCACACACATTGTTTATAATGTAACCCCCACTATATAATGTGACTACACTCAGTGTATAACGTGACCATACAGCGTATATATTTATTTATTTATTTATTTATTTATATACAGGAAGGTACATTGGGGGTTAAGAGAGTACATAGAAATGATGTTGATTTTACATTCTTGTAAAGCCACTATCACGCGTAGCGTTTATGCGTGACGGGAGATGTCTCCCGTGAAGACTCCAAGCTTACTATTATCCATTTAAAGGATAACTCCATCCTAAGATTCATCAAGCGCCTCCCGACCTATGTGCAGAGAGAGCGGTGAAGGGGAGGGAAGGTAGTGAAGGAGAGGGAAGGTATTGAAGGAGAGGGAAGATGCTGAAGTAGAGGGAAGATGGTGAAGGAGAAGATAGTGATGATGATGGTTGGTAGATGTGGTACCTACCTATCAGTGAGCGCCCATGTAGTGAAAATGATTGTAGTGGTGTGTAGGGAGAAAGGTGGAGATGGAAGGAGAGGAGAGGAAGTGAGAGGGGGAATCTTGGGAAGAAATTTGGAGAGGGGAGAGGGGAAGAGTTGGAAAGAAGGGGGGAGTGGGGAAGGGAGGAGAGAGGCCTGGGTGCAGATGATGATACTCCTCCTAGTATGGCTTTGTAACAGCTTTGGACGTTACATCATTTTCCAATTGGCTCTCAGGTTTCCCCTGGCCCTGATGGACTCATATTTCAAGTGGCACTGTGTTATCAGAGGCGCCGTGGTGGTGGTGGTGATGATTGTTGCGGCTATGGTAGTAGTTGTGGTGGTGGTGTTGATGGTAGTGGCTATGTGGCTGTGGTGGTACTGATGGTATTGGTTACGTGGCTGCACCACAAGAACCACACTACCGCACCACCACCACAGCAGCACTAACCACAGCACCGTCACAACCACATAACAACAGGGTCAGCAGGGCGGTATAACTTGACCTCGAGGGCCGTGACTAGACCTGGAGGTTGAGTGTCAGGTTCCTGAGCTGGTCACAGGCACCTGACTCAACCCGGCTTGTGGTGTCTCTCTGTGGTACTTGTGGCCGCCTTCCGCGTCTAATGTAACTGCTTATTTGCACAGTATGATTCTGAATATCCTTGATGGTTGTATTCCATCAGTTGCCATTATGCACGCTAATTACTTATTTACCTGAGGGCCAATCTCTCTGGTGGCCTCGACGAAGACAGGAAGTCGGCGGCTTGTGAAATATCCCTCTCCACCCCCTCCCCTTTTGTCCTGATGATTTTATATATTTGGATCTTAAATTGCAGCAATGTTTTGTCATTTACCTCTTCGGCGGGTAGGCGGTTCCATAGGTCTATAACCCTGTGGGTGAAGAAGCATCTCCTGTTTTCTGTCCTGCATTGTGACTGGTTGAGATCGAAACCGTGGCTCCTTGTTTGTGTTACATCTGACCTTTTGAAAAAGTTGTCTGGATTAATGCTCTCAAAATTGTTCAGTATTTTAAAAGTTTCGAGGAGATCAGCCCTGTCATGTCTGGTTTGCAATGCTATTAGCTCTGTGGCCCTCAACCGATCCTGGTATGAGAGTTGACTTAGTTCTGGAATAATTTTTGTTGCTCTGTGTTGAACTTTCTCCAAAGCAGCTATATCTTTCTGAAGATGAGGTCTACATGCTGCTTGGATACAATAATCCAAGTGGAGGCGCACCAGAGATTGATACAATTGAACAACCACCCTCTTCTCCTTGAAGTGACAGCGGCCTTGCCTATTCCCGGGGCCTGGATAGATTTCTTTTACTGCAGCTCCCACTTGTTGTGCATCCTCCAGTGAATGACGGATTCTATTCCAGTGTTCTCTTCTTCATCAATCTGCTGCAAGGAAATGATGTTAATGTGGTAGGTGTGACGTAGATTGCAATGCCCTACATGCAATATCTTGCATTTTTCGATATTAAAAAGCATTTGCCAGTCTTAATACCACTTGTGGAGGGAATGTATATCTTTGTATATGCTGAATGTCATTTTCATTTCCCACTCTACCATAAATATTAGCCACCTGTAAATCTGATGATGTGGTTTGTAATGCTCCCATCTATGTCACTGATGTATCACAAAAAGGGCCGGCCCCATCATGAACCCTGCGGTCCCCTACTCACCACATTTCTTCAGACAGATTCATTTCCGCCTTGGACGACCCCCTCCCCATTCCCCCGGCCCGTTTTCCCTACTTTAACCATATGGTTAAATGGGTTTTACCCATTCTAAGTTTTCTACCATTTATTCTATGTGCCTGTGATTCCCCTGCCAGGCTCTCCTGTGGCACCGTACCAAAAGCCCGCGTAAAGTCCATGCATACTACAGCTACTGGAGGTCCTTTGTCTCAATACCTTGTTACCGCTTCCAAAAATGTGAGCAGGTTTGTATACACAGGTGCTGGTGCTCGTATACATAGCCTGGTGCTCGTATACATAGCCTGGTGCTCGTATACATAGCCTGGTGCTCGTATACATAGCCTGGTGCTCGTATACATAGCCTGGTGCTCGTATAGCCTGGTGCTCGTAGCCTGGTGCTCGTATACATAGCCTGGTGCTCGTATACATAGCCTGGTGCTCGTATACATAGCCTGGTGCTCGTATACATAGCCTGGTGCTCGTATACATAGCCTGGTGCTCGTATACATAGCCTGGTGCTCGTATACATAGCCTGGTGCTCGTATACATAGCCTGGTGCTCGTATACATAGCCTGGTGCTCGTATACATAGCCTGGTGTTCGTATACATAGCCTGGTGCTCGTATACATAGCCTGGTGCTCGTATACATAGCCTAGTGCTCGTATACATAGCCTGGTGCTCGTATACACAGCCTGGTGCTCGTATACATAGCCTGGTGCTCGTATACACAGCCTGGTGCTCGTATACATAGCCTGGTGCTCGTATACACAGCCTGGTGTGTGTGTACACATACAAGTGGTACTTGTATACACAACCTCGTTGGTTTAAACGATGGTATACATTTCATGTAATATGATACAAATTATTGCAAATAATTAATATTAACATTATAACAACTGGGAAGATTAACGAGAGGCAGCCGGGTTGACGAACGAGAAGTAGCTGCGTAGGTGGAGAAAGAAACAAAGAATTATGGAGAGAAAATCAATAAACAGTCAGTTCAAAGGTTTCAGGCCGGCATAGCGATCGATTTTGCTTCCATTTATGGAGTGGAGCGGTGATGGTGGTGAAGACCCGCGCCGGGCTCCCAGGATATCTTAGTGGAGACCTTTTGTGCCCTCTGTAATGCTTTTTGCGCTACCGCTCACAGGATGAGTATGGGGTGCACAATAAACGACAATTAAAAAACAAGGGCGTGGAGTCTATATCTTTTGTATTGTACCCCGCATCATCAATGTTTTCTGTGTCAGAGTAATGAGCAGATGGAATACTGGAATAGGCTAAGTAGATAGCATTAAAACGGGACGACCACTTATTTCCTACACGGTAAAAGATGGAATTTCAACTTTATCAACAACAAATTTTGATTTGAAATTACTATAGTGAGTCCTGGTTACCGTGTACTTACTTTTATTATTATTCTTATTCTTATTATATTAAACATTCTGTTAATGCCACTTCTCTGTGTATTGAAAGAGGAAGCGTCTGAGATAGAATTCCTGGACGACAGAGCCAGAGTGCATCGGGAGTCAAAGGCGTGTGCTTGGGAGTACACAGAGTATAAGTTCGAATCCTCATCACGGCTCCTACGTATTTTCTCAATAATAATAATAATTATAATGAGGGTGAAGGAAGGACGCAATACATGTATAAGTGCATTAAAGTCAAATTATCGGATACAACCTATACTTTCTGAAGGTTGATGCGGCGCGCCTTGCGCCCAAATGCTTAGACTGCATCCGTAAAGAGACAAAACAGATTGGTATTAGATGCTTTTTTACCCAGAGTTATGAACCCATGGAACCGGCTACCCACCGAAGCCGTAAATGCATAGACGTTATTGAGTTAAAAATCCACGTGGAAAAAGTCCTCAGGAACAAGGAGGGTACCTTCGACAAGCCGCCGGCTTCCTACTCCAGTCACTAAAGATGATGGCCCTCAGGTAAATTGTTACATAATTTATCAGAATCAGTTTAGACGACGAACATAACAAGTTTACAATTTAGATATTAAAATGTACTCACCTGAACATGTGACGGCAATGAGAACCACTTTGTTATTGTCCAACCATTCCATGAGACCTCGCGCTAAACGCTGACGTCACTTTAAGTTAGAACACAACGTCGAGGCGACGTCATGTTACCACACCGTTGTGACGTGACTGAAGACGTTGCTGATCCTGCAGGTGGTTATATACTCCTAGTTTATTGACGGACGTGTAATAGCGAAATTTTCTTGTGGTAAAACTAATCTCGTGGGTTCGAGGAGATGTTAATGTGCTGACTCTTTTGGTGAGCTGAGTTAAGCTTGTTTCCCCATTACAGGATGAAATGTACGTATTAGTTTGTTAAAAACGTTTAACTTACTGATCTTGACGTGTTAGATGTACTGTATCACAGTATGTTACTGTACTGAGTTCCTAGCTATCCACTCTTATTTTCATTGTGTGGTAATACCAACTGATGCCGAGGCGCTGCGCCTTGTATAAGTATTATTATAGCAGTTTTGATCTTGTAGAATTGCGCAATACCGGAGTACGTGTTGGTGTTGTTAATAGTGGTGCTTTAGTCTGCTTGCTGGAGAACATCTAAGTGTTGATACTTGGCTCATCTTTCCTGGAGTAAGTCTTAAGTGTCGATGCTGGTTCCATGTTTGTCGGAGTAGTCTAGTGTCTGCCTGAGAGAACTATTTGTAGTTCGTCAGCTTCACGTTAGACCTTCTAACTTGATATTATAGCTTTGATATGCGTGAGTGATGTGATACTGACAGTGTTATTGTATTTTATATCGTTAATTACCGGGGGTTTGGGTGTTGATGTGACGATATGTTAGTTATGTTGCAGAGTATAATCAATGTGTCTAAATATGCTAATGTGTACATTACAGTTATTTGTACAGCATTGTACGTAGCTTGTCATTTGGTGGCTGGGTTGCTTGCCTTCCGATGCCAGTTGTACCCATATTGTTGTACCCTAGATGCTACAGCTTAAAAGTAAACAATCCAATATAATCATGTGACTTCCCAACTAGCAAAATGGATGACGATGTACATTATAAATTGTGTCGGTAGCTCTTGCGTGTGTTTGACCAACAACATGCCCATAAGCTCATATCTATTCCATATGTCTAATTTAGAATCCAGATCTTCAGTACGTATGCAAGAGCCCTGTACACTGTGCCTTGTCTAAGCGTTTGTTTTTTTGTCTTTCTTCCTGGTCTCATAGACGTAAACCACAAGGCTAGTCAAGGCACAGGCCAACATAAATGTTAATAAACTCATTTTAGGTGTGTAGCGCAAGCACCACCCAAACCTGAAGTATTACTGGTTGATTACAGACCTTGATGGAATACGTCAGAAATATGTCGCGTAAAACATCAGATGTTACAAGGTTAGGTCTTATAAACGTCACCAATTACGACGTTATCTTCTAAGATAGTCTTAGCTTCGTTCAGAAAGTATATTGTCGAAGTTGTTTAATTTAATGTGAATTTGTTCAGCCCACCAGTCCACAGTTTCAGTGTCAGCCGAATGCACTCCCTAGCGTGCCGAGACGTGAACTGAGAGTGGAGAGAACTCCAGGCAGCCGTGGTGGTGGTGGGAGCGGTGGTGTCATGTGAGAGGTGAGACAGTCACGAGTCTTCGGATAATATTACCTGTTATGCCTGGTAGAGTTTTGTTTGTGTATAGTTTTGAGTTCTCTGTAACATTATACAATCACATCAAACTTGGTTTGGGAGGGAGAGAGACAAACGAATACAGACCCAGGCACCGCCGAATATCCCTGTAGTATGCATATACAGTATATACTGTACAGTATTGTACACACACACACACATCTATATATATATATATATATATATATATATATATATATATATATATATATATATATATATATATATATATATATATATATATATATATATATATAATATATATATTATATATACATATATAATTTCGTATAAATACTTATACGAGAGAATGTCTGTTTTCTACCTTAGTGTTTGACTATTTGAAATTAGTGAAAATATGTTATTGTAGGAGTTCCAATGTTAAATTTTGCAATGATCACGTAGATTTTGGCTTTAGCTACTTTAAAAGGATAATTAATATATAGTTGGCCATAATACATTTTAATTCAAGTTTTGCTTTCTACTTCACATTTCAAACTCTACACACCAGTGGAGTGTCAGACCATTAGGGATCGTCTGCCAAAGGAATATATAACAACCATAACAGTTAGGTTAATGTTCCCTGTTAGCGAGATATTGATGTGATAGTTCCAACACTCGCTAACAGGTTGTACTTAGGATACGCCAGACCAGTTCCCATCTTGACGAGCGAATCATCTTTAGTTCAGATATTTAAAAGCTAACAGATGATATTAAATGTTTGTAACCATTATCAGAAGTATAAGTGGATGCTGAACGGAGCCTTTGGGAACCTTTCACGGCATCACATCTAATATCGAGAAAGAAGCCGTCTACTGTATGCATAGCACTGAGGTCGGGTGTGTGTGTATTGGCAGCTAATTACAAGCAAGACGTTACTGCTCGCTTTCTGGCTGCTCTGATGGAGTGTTGTGTTTCTCTTTGCGCGGACGCCCCCGCCCACCTCGCCTGTGTGCTCGCCCGCGCCCCTTGATACGCGTCTCAGGTCGGGGCTCTTGCTCCTGTCCGGACGCCCCGCGCTTAATTTCTGTTTGAGATGAGGAGGTGGCACCCACAGACCCGTCTCGGCCATGCCTGCCTCCTCGTGGTCCTTGTGAAGAGTCTCTAGGTGAAGTAGGTGTCCTGACAGGGTCCCGACGGCTCCTGGAGTCCTCCCGGGGTGGAGGGGGTCGCCCAGAGCCTTTCGCCAGGTGAACACTAGGCTCTGCCTCAACAGCCTCTTGTCTTTGTTGCTGTTGCTGCTGGGATTGTTGCTGAGGCTGCTGCTGTTGTCGATTTCTTGTACGCCCTCGTCCGAAGTACCTTCCTCGGCCCCGCTGTTGGTGTTGTTCGTGCTGTTGCTGTTCCGGTCGAGCTGAAGCAATGGCAGGAAAGGTGGTTCCGCTATCGCGTTCACTAGACCTGCAGTAAAGAATTACATCAGTCATCTTTTAAGCGATGAAAATTAACATTTGAAAATGACGAAAGGTTATTGCAAGAGTGTAACGTAATTTACCTGTATAATATAAGTACACCGCTTCATCCAACTATTTAGATTAGGTTTTAAGATTTATGCTTATCCACTGCCAGGGTCACTCGATCACACTTTTTATTATTTAAGTATACAGTACTGTAATCCCGACCAAATTTAGTATTAAAAACTTATTATATGTGAACTAAGAACTACACTTCTCGTCTAACAGCGCGAGTTTACATGCATCACAGTAAAAAAAAAAAAAACTATATATACGTACAGATGATTCTCGCATCCACAAGTGGGAAAATGTGGCCTGATCTGTGAAATATGAATTCTAATGATCGGGGAAGATGAGGCTTGCGGGTTGTATTATCACCCAGGAAACTGAGTCATCATTATCGCATAGCCAATATTCTCACTTTACGTTATACAGCAATAAATAAATTATAACTCATATCGAACACATGTTAATCCTTTAATATTGTCGATGAAAACCAAAAACCATAAGAGTGTCCGTACAAGGACCTGGGTGGCAGAACACCAGCTTAAAGTAATGGCTGATCACCTCTCCGACAATCGACGGTTGGCAGGACTGGTGGTGTTGTGGGGTAGCGGCCTCGCCCCTCTCTCCTGCTGCTGCTGCTGCTGGTGGTGCTGACGGAGGGGTGGGAAGCGAGGTTCTCGATCCGCCTGGGTCCTGCCTACGTCTGTTGCTAGGCTTCGCTGGACTTGGGAGGAGGTGGTGTTGCCCAGTAACGGGTCGACCAGCTGGGAGCCTGGAGACGCCTCCCTCTTGCCTACCTGCCCAAGCCCACCAACATTACTCAACTTTTGGTAAGGGATTTTATCTTGTAAATCAGGGAAAATGGATTTTACTCATTACAGTACTTTAGGATTTAGTGTAAATCCAATTTTGAATTAAAAAAATTAATATCATTACTAATAACAAACGAACATTATTTATAATATACTTCTGTTTTATTATTTCCAGTCTTTATTTAGCCCCCCGAGTATTTAACATTACAGAGACAAGATTATTGATACCTAAACTAGTACTAATTTACTTCCTATCACTTGTTAAATAACTTAAGATCTTTGCTATTTTAGTAAAGGTTGTGACTGTATTCTTGAGTCATATGAGCATTTAACGAGCATATTACATATAAATTTAGAAAAGAACAGATACTTATAATAGAGAGGTGTCGGAGCAGTTAGTAAAGGGAGTTGCTTACGTTATGGACTGTTGTTGATTACTTTAGTGTTTTATTAATGTTCCTCTCAACTCTACTACATTATTACTATCCACCGTATTTGACTTTATCGCAGCCTACTTCTCCAATGTATTATAAATTATTCCCTTGCAGTATAGGCCTACTGCACACTTATGCTCTTTTGTCACTGTTTACCCCAAGTTTTCCAGATGTTACGGGGATAACTATATGATAATTTTTTTATATTTATCCTAATTTATTTCCTTTTTATCTCGAATAGAGTAAGAAAATTTCAGCCCCTTAACAAATTAATTATACAATGAGACATTATTAGGCACAAAACACAGCTGCATTTTAACTTTGTTCATAGATTTGAACTTAAATGTTCATAGATTTTGATAAAAGCGCACGCACAAGCAATAGTAGACCCAATATATAACAGTCCGTACGCGGTCAGTTAATAATAGTCAGGAAATCTTGAAATTGAGATTTATGGAGTTGCGACAATTAACAATAAAGCAAAGCTAATTTACAATAAAGTCACTCGTCAAGTCCTGCTTCTGGTGTTCTAGCCCCGGGGGTGCTTTAGTCCTTGTTTGTTCTACCCCCCGGAGGTGATCTATCCCCGAGGTGTTCTATCCTCGGGGGTGTTCTAGCTGAGGTGTTCTAGCCCGGGGGTGTTCTATCCTCGGGGGTGTTCTAGCCCGGGGGTGTTCTAGCTGAGGTGTTCTAGCCCGGGGGTGTTCTAGCTGAGGTGTTCTAGCCCGGGGGTGTTCTAGCCTCGGGGGTGTTCTAGTGGCGGCAAACACCAGGGTGACAGCCATAATATGTTCCCAAGTATTAATACTCCTACATATATTGAAGTTTACATAGATGCAAATTTAGGTAGTCCTTGAAGTAAAGTTGTCGATACTGTGAACACGTTTTCTATCACGTTCGACGCTTGAGAACATATATCTTCGTCTAGGCCTTTAATCACTTATCAAATTGCCTTTCAAATTGGGAAAGCGTAAAAGAAAACATTTAGAGGAGATTTGGTACACTGTAAGACAGATAGCTTTCATAGCGATTAAAGAAACTTCATTGGCGATTACATGTGCTTTCATAACGATTACTCAAGTTTCCATGTTTACTGTACAAGCTTATACGACAATTACGTAAGTATATATGGTGATTGATCTTCAAGCTTTCATGGTCATTATACAAGCATTCTACAAGCTTAACGACACATTTTGCCAAATCTATTCTTTGTACATTGTAACGATATATTGGGTTTATAGTGTATAATTACTGGCTAATTTGCAAGTCTGCTGTATGGCTTGTGAGCGGCTACAATACAGGTAATTTCGGGTAACTTGTTCGTTTTCAGATAAATAAATGTTTTACTAAATATTGTTATCACTGAAAATGTAATAATTACTTATGGTTCGATAGTAAAGTAATGCAGCTATGTTTACCAGTGGGTCCTTGTGGGTCAAGGTGGACATCATTAACACTCATAAACAAACCCCACGACTGTAAACTCGTATTAGAGTAATATAAGTAGTCGGTGGAAATCAAATAACGTGACAATTGTAGAGAAAATGAGAGCGTGCGTGACCCAGGCGTATCGATGCTCACTTGTCTAGCGTGCGGGGAGGTGTGAACGGTGGCGCGGGGGGTGAGGTCAGCGGTGCGTGGTTGTGGGCGTGGAGGGGGGCGTGGTGGGGGCAGAACAGGGGGCGCGCCCACCTTCTTGTTAAGATGTGCTAGGCTGTTCTCGCTGGCTGCCTCCCGCGCCTGCCTGGGGGTGTTGGGAGGGGAGGGAGGTGACTCGGTGAACGTGTCCACACATACACAAAATTAACAAATCTGTGGTATCGTGGTTGCCCCTCACACACACACACAATTATAATCTAAATCTTGACCACATGCTCATATAATTTTCTGCATAAGTTGTGATGTCTTCAATTGAAATATAATTTCAACTGCCTGGAAGGGTTGGATAAACGTCTCTCTCTCTTGCAAAACTTAGTTCCTGACAATTAGCTTTCACTTACCGTAGTCTTGAAGACTGGTTGCCACCTCTTGCCGCTAGTCAGATCAAAGTTGGATGTCATAGAGAACAAATATGATAACTGACTTATGTTTACAAGGTAATATAATCCTGTTATAAGCTTCCTTCAACAAATATATTCTATTATTAAGTAGTGTTTGGGATAATTTTCCAATATCCCTCCACCAGTCTATAATTAATTTGAGGAACTTATTAAGCGTATAATTTGCAACATTATTTAAAAGTATAATGGTATTTTAAGTGTGAATGAAAGGATTTAATATGATTTGATTTTGCAAAATTTATCTTATAAAATAAAATATTCATGTGCACACATATTGATGTCTCTAGAGGCCCAAACATATAAGTAATTAAAAGTTACTTTCCTTAATAGATTCATAATTTACTTCCCCTCATGATAAACCTGTGACCAAACAGTGAGTTCATATTAAACTCAAAATAAAGACAGCCACAGTAACTGAGGCTGAGAGTGCGACAGTGCACTCTGGGATGGTCAGGAATTATACGCCACACACCATAATACAGAAGTTTAATGCACGAATAATGTCTTGACAATAAATTGGAAAGTTCGACTTCTCGCCCTTCACCGTTACTCTCTTATTCCTTCTCTGTTAGGTACTCACTTACCAATATCAGTGCTCTTCCACATTCTCCTACCTGCCTCCCAAGTTTGTGAAGTAGTTTCGTGTGTGGAACTGTGTAAAAGGCTTTTCAGCAATCCAGAAATACATAAACTGCCCAATCCTCTTTACTCCTAGATTATTTTCGCTTCGTTATCGAGAATCTCTTGTTCCATAGGCATGGCTACCTTTTTCTAAAACCATGTTGGTGTTTGTTTACAATCCTAATAATCCATAGGTGTTTAGTCTTATTGTTGTTATTCTTTCGAGTACTTTGCAGGGAATGCTTGTATATTGGTACCATATTTGCCATCTCCAAGCAGCTGGGAAAATCTTCCTTCACAATTGAATGATTCAGATCAGAGCTAGAGGTACATTGAGGACATGTGCAACTTCTTTTAATATCCATGAGATACATTGTCTGGTCCAATAGCTTTAGTTTCATCTAGTGAAGCTATAGGTGCCTCATTACTTCGTCTGCTGTTACCTCAATATTTGTCAGTCTTTCGTTTAGGATTACCTCCTCTCATAGCACTGGGAACTGTTCTGGCTCAATCATGAAAACTCAATGGAAACTGGCATTTAGTTCCTCACAAATTTCGTTGTAATTTTTTGTTCAGTATGTTTTCCTACCCTCATGTATAATCTAGTCCCTTTGTCATTCACACTTTCCTTCATATGTGACTATTAAGTAAATTCTGTTGTTTCTTTACCGTACTTAAATTGTCATTGTCATAGTTTTTCTAACACTCTTATTATGTTTATGTATTCATTCCTAGCTTTGTTACATCTATTAGGTTTATCTCTTGTTCTCTGTATTTTTTTGTATTTCCTCCTGCTTTTTAAGTTAACTTCTTGGCTTTGTCTGTTGAACCATCGGTTGATATATTCCCTTAAACCTTTTTCCCCTTTATTGTTAGTATGTATCTCTCTTCAGTTGTTCTGCATCTCCCTTTGACTTGATCCATCATTTCCTGGACTGTTTTCTACAGTTCTTCCTACCATTGTACAATGATCGCTGGATCCTAGTGATATGTCATCCTCCAAGTTCTCAATATTGTCCTCATTTTGGGAGGACAAGTCCCAGTCTTCTCAGATTTTAATAAAGTCGAGCAATGTGTTAAGAGGTTCATTACCATAACTACCATTAACTTTGCTACCCAGGTTTTTCTCCCCCATGAGGATTCTCAATTACCAATCTCTCTCTCTCTCTCATTTATTTTCCCCAATGATTAGTAGTTTTGCTTTTTCGTCTATGTACTGCTGTTGTTGTCCTCTACAGTCAATCTATGCATGTTTTCTTGGTGTCTTTGTATTCCTGCCTGAATGTTCTGCTGTTTGTCGGGGGATTGCACATTACAAGGACCACTATTTTTTCCATCTACTGTCAGAGTGCAAGTGATTTAATCTGTGTATCCATTTGAAGCCCTATGTTCTAGTTCCTCTCAAACTTCTACTTTCGTTTTGTTGGAGTGCCACTTTCCCTCCCTGTCTTTGTTTCATTTCCTTTATCATTACTTGGTATCACCCTGGAAACACTGCATCCGAGATCATTTCATTTATTTTGGTTTCTTCTATTGCAATCACGTCATACTCTATTTTACTTACACTTTCTTTTATTTCCTCTCCTTTATTGTATATTCTATATAACATACCATATATTGAGGTTCTTCTTGGACATTCTATTCCCTGATTTCACAGAGCACTCCAGTCTATTTGTCTCTATTGGTGTGGTATGCAAGTGAGAGATGAATGAAGTAGTGTGTGGAATTAGTGGATGTGAGACAGGAAGAGGTTGACAGAGAGGCGGTGAGGTTCTTATATTTAAAGTGGAATATAATGGTTGAGAGAAAAAAGAGAGGTAGCAAAATGAAAGGCGTTGTGAGGCAAGCATTGGTTGTGGGCTAGCCAGAGGTTGAATGGTAAATTGGGACTGATAGGATGAGGTGGCAGAGAGGGGATGAGAAGGTCAGGGATGCAGAGAGAGACAGAGGGGATTGAGAGGCAGAGGGGGCTGAAAGGCAGAGGGGGGTGAATGACTTATAATGCCTTCTGCATGGCAATAAACACCTAGAATGCCTTAATTCTAGTTTCATGATGAAGTTAATGCACACGTTCAGGCATATGTTTACATCCAAGGCAAGAACATGCTTTCTGGTGTCATTGCCAGTTGCTGTAGAAAAGCCAAAGAACAGTGCACATGAACATCACTCAACATGATTGCAGTCACCACGGGGAATGCTGGGAGATATCATCTGAGCACAGTACCTCAGCGTCTGTGCCCACTGCAGCAGCAGGAGGCGGGGGGTCGTCTTCCAGCAGCATCCTGACGGATGTTGGTCAGATCGTTTAGTAAAGGGATTGGAGCATGCTCCTCCAGATCCATATTATAGAGATATGAAACTAGTTTGTGGAACCCAAGCTTCACTTGTTTAATAAGTAGTCAACAAACATAGACCACACCCGACTTGGTCAAGACCACACACCCGACCTGGTCAAGACCACACCCGACCTGGTCAAGACCACACCCGACCTGGTCAGGACCCACCTGACCTAGCCAAGACTATACATAACCTAGTCAAAATCACAGCAGACCTAGTCAAGACCACACCTGAAGTATTTACCATCACACATGACTTATAGATGACCTATTTAAATGTAGCCCGTGCTACTTGGACCTTCTTGTTCCCAGTAGCTGAATCTAAAACAACAACAACCTAGCTTACACGCCAGACCTATTTGAGACACACAAAACTTATTTACAACCACACCTGATCTATTTAAGATCACACCTGGCATATTTTAGACCTATTGAAGATCTCACATGGGCTGGTCAATGTCACACTGGAGGGCAAGCTATAGGCATATTTCCTAAACAAGAAAAATCCTTATAAATCAACCTCAGAATTCATTCTTATGGAGCCTACAATTATTTGGTTCATATTTTGTAGGCCTAATCATTTGCATACACTTTATTTTGCAAATATAATTCATTAATATTACAGTTGCAAATCGGAGAAAATGGAGATTGATAATCCTCAATGATCAACTCTCAGGGTATGAAGGTAACTGATCCAAAAAAATAATCAACATAAAGCCTATATTTCTAATTAAAATTTGTCGCTTCTCGACAGAATATATACATTTTTGCAACATATTTATTGACACAACTTTTGACATTAAGTTATTAAATGTAAAAGCATTCATGAATTCAGACATCTATTAAATATCAAAATCATATCAAATGCCCAACTAATTCCTCCATAACATTGTAAATGTTATGAATTGCCTAAATTATTGTTACAATTGTTAAAAATTGCCTAAAATATTAACACAAGATTTAGTTGTTATCACTTTTGCCCACATTTGGCGGACTGGACCCCTGCCTCACTGGACACGTCTGTGCTGTATGGTGCGGCTCCCGGCCACCCATACCTCACCCGCCATTATCATGTAAACACGCCAATGGCCTAGCTTACACACACACAGTTACAGCCCCGCTCCTGTGCCAGGTAAGTCCACTATGGGCCCACCATAGCCCGTGCTACTTTGAACAACAAGGGATATATACACCATGATATTGGGATAATGTAGCGGAGACAGCCTTACCTCTTAAGGTCCTCGACTAGCGAGGTCAGGTACTTGTTCTTGGCTCGCTCCTCCTCCAGTAGGCCCCGGGTGTGGTCTGCCTCCTCCTCCAGCAGCTCCAGGTCCAGAGACCGCACCAGTCGAGGGTCGCCTCGCCCTGAACGCCCCGGAAGAGGGCGTCTGATAAAGAGAGATGTGCTGTGGTGACTGCTACTCTATGTCTACATAGAAGGACAAAATTCATATCAAGAAATCCTTATGAAGTAAATCATTTATAGAAGAGGAAGAGGGACACTTTTTGAATAAAACTTTATATGTGTAAAAAGATCTTCTTTGACAGCAAAATATTTGTCAAGAAAAACTAAATTCATTTACAGTGAAGCGGAAGAGGAAGAATTATTAATGGCAGACATTGATTGTAACCATGATATATATATGTACCAGTTTAGACCTATTGTCTTGTATATGACCCTCTGTCCTGCATGACTGAATACCAGCATTATCCTCACTTTAATATGACTTAATTGAAATCCTCAGATTAGGCAAAATTGTAATTAATTTTGTCAATAAAGATGTTAATAATAATAAGCATTTATCTGCCAGTAGGAGAGTTACTGCTGGAGGAGACTATACAGGGCATGCTGATACTATTGTAAGGTTTTACATCTAAATTGTCCTCTCATATTAAAATTATAAATATAAATTTAATTATCTGGTTATGCTGTACAGTACAGTATTTTTTAAGTTTTATATTATAGTTGAGTTGCTTCTATGAATACATGGCAGAGTAATACAGAACTGCAAAATAAGAATAAAGAAAACTGTAGAGGGTCCTATTGACCTATAACTAGCCCATGGCCAAATTCAGGTAATAACTAGTAAGACATTGGGATTCATGCCTATTTATCATTAAAAAACTTATTTTAAGTTTTATTCACAAGTTCACATTTACACAGCTCATCGCCAGAACAAAGAGCGTTCATGATGTGTTAATCAAATATTGAAATATTAGCGTAGATGATAGTCTGTTTTACTAATTTAGTCACCAGGTGTAGCATTAGTTGTATTTACAGTTCCAGTTTTAGTCATCAGGTGGAGTGTGAGTCTTATTTACAGTTCCAGTTTTAGTCATCAGGTGGAGTGTGAGTCTTATTTACAGTTCCAGTTTTAGTCACAGTCATCAAGTGGAGTATGAGTCTTATTTACAGTTCCAGTTTTAGTCACCAGGTGTAGCATTAGTTGTATTTACAGTTCCAGTTTTATTCATCAGGTGGAGTGTGAGTCTTATTTACAGTTCCAGTTTTAGTCACCAGGTGGAGTATGAGTTCTGTTTACAGGTTTAGTTGACTCCGGGTGAAGGACGAGTTGTGTTTACAGTTCCGGTTTGTGTCACCAGGTGGAACACGAGTTGTTTACAGGGTTAGTTTTTCTCACTTTTGCCCATATTTTATTTATTTATTTGTATAGCCATGGAGGTGATGATGCAGAGGACATAAGCAGACTCGCTAGTGTCTTCCTGAAGGCGAAGTTGACATTGAGATATCATGCTGGGACGCGTGTTGTTAGAGGAAAAACTGTCAATTAGGCTGGTCATGTTCCTCTACACACATGCTAGGCTATTAGTACAGTCACTCATCCAGTTACTGGCCAGACTGGTCTAGTTTCCCCTGTGTCATGACTGTAATGTTTTTACCTTATTACGATGTCACTGCTGATTAGTGCAATGCTCCTACCTTACTACGAAGTCACCGTTGATGAGACCGTAATGTTCTTACCTTAGCTATGATGTCACCGTTGATTTTATTTACATTACATGGTACAATGGATTTGTGAGAGTACATAACATTGGTGTTCTTACATTCTTGCAAAACCACTAACACGCATAGCGTTTCCGGCAGACGAGACTGTAATGCTCTTTCCCTTACTACGATGTCACCGTTAATAAGACCGTAATGCTCTTACCTTACTACGATGTCACCGTTAATAAGACCGTAATGCTCTTACCTTACTACGATGTCACCGTTAATAAGACCGTAATGCTCTTACCTTACTACGATGTCACCGTTAATAAGACCGTAATGCTCTTACCTTACTACGATGTCACCGTTGAGGAGAGAGGCTGGCGGTGACTGTACAGTGAGCGGGGCCTTGGCGGTATCAGTGCTGGTAACTCTGGCGGTGGAGGTAGTGATGACGGGGCTGGTGTCTGCAGTCTTGGCTGATTTGTTGTCTCTTTTTTGGTTATTTGGCTCTACTTTGTTTGGTATTTCGTTCTACAATAGAGATTGAGTGTTACATGCCAGTCAGGCTTATAATGTTTTCTTATCTAAACAGATTACTGATTAGTTTGATACATATAACTCTTGATAAAAATGAGTACCCTGTTGGGTTATATGTTGACCTACGTAAGGCTTTTAACACTGTTAACCACAATAACTTTCTTAAATTACAACATTATGGAGTCAGGTCACTCCCTCCAATACTTTCTGTCTTACCCCTGTGAAAGGCTCCAGTATGTCTCTGTGAATGATTCCAATTGTCACACCCTATCCATTAACATTAGTGTTCCTCAGGGCAGTATACTTGGCCCTCTCCTCTATCTCATCTACATTAATGACCTTCCAAATGCCTTTCAACACTTCAAGCCAATTTTATTTGCTGATGACACAACCTTCATTTTCTCCAGTCCTAACCCTCTTATCCTGAAAGACAGTGAATACTGAACTAATTAAAGTCCATCTGTGGCTAACTGCTAAGAAACTCACCCTTAACATTGATAAAACCATTTATAATTTTTTTGGGTAATAAATCCTCTGATCAAATTAATCTAAGAATTAACAATATCCAAATTAGTAACAAAGTAGATGGTAAATTTCTTTGTGTTCTCATTGATAACAAGCTGAATTTCCAGGGCTTAAATTAAAAATAGCTTAAAGTTAAGCTAGATTTAAAAATATAGCTTAAAGTTTCTAAAACTGTTGGCATTCTTTCTAAAGGCAGATATTATGTACCTCGCCCTGCCTTGGTAACGCTCTATTACTTTCATCTATCCTTATCTCAATTATGGTATTTGTGCTTGGGGGTTCTACTACCCAAAACCATCTAGGCCTCTAATTACTCGACACAAATCAGCAATTGGAACAATAACAATCTCTGGCCCCAGACAGCACTCGGCCCCCTTACTTGAATTTGTAAATATGTTAGATATCAAGTCACTGCACATCCTTTCAAGTGTACTCAATATACAGTACTGTATATAAAATCTAAATAATAGTAATGGCAGTAATCTAAAACCACCAGAGAACAACAGGAGACTCCAGGCAAAATATGAAGATGCAAACAGAGCCAGTGTAGGAATTCTCCAGTGCGCTGTAGACAGAGCACATCAACTATAAGAATACAATGAATACTCGGAGAAGACTTTTAGAGACCAAAGTTTGTAGAAACAGTCGATAGGAACGTCATAACATAATATGAAAACTATTTTACCAGCCAGACTAAACCTGATTTTCATGCGGAATTGAAGTAGACATTGAAGATATGTAATATATACCCATGGAGAATGAGTGCACACTGTGTATTAACCTTTGGCTATATGATGTCAGTAACTGCAAGGCTGATAGAACACTAACTAACTAACTAACGGCAGTGGGACTACCAAAAACTCACTCACTCACCTTGGGAGAGGAAGCCTCATCACTCTCAGGGCTGAATGGAAAATCAGGCTTGATCTGTGCAGCTGATGGGCCCATGAGGAGTTGGAAGGTCAGATCTGCAATTACGGAGTGAGCTTACTATATGGATATGAATGTGTATATATGTATGTAGCATGATTACTCGCATTATATCAAAATACGTACGCAAAATGTGTATAAAGTGTTAATTATTATATAACTATCATTCATGACGAGAAACCTAATGCACTAAATATTAAATTTGTGTATGTGATCTCAGCGGAAAAGACGTGAAAGTTTATATTATGAATTTCCACAAGAAAATTTTTTAGTGAAATTTGTGGATACGAAAAACAACACGGATAAATTCCCTCTTTACGAGAAGTTTTCGGGCCGAATGTTCCCGTGACGACAGTTGACTTTTCTATGGCTTGGGGCCCCATGTCAAGTGGCCTCCATTACGGTCATTTGATCACAGAAATCGAAAACTTTCATAACAGACGAAATCAAATTTGTGTGGCACGCAGGAGGAAGAGAGACTGGTGGTTCTTGGTGTGTCTAAGTTTGACTACATCAGACCATTGCAAGTATCGGATGCACAATAACCTACCATTCACAGGATGACTATGGTGTGCACAGTAAACTTATTTATTTATTTATTTATTTATATACAAGAAGGTACATTGGGTTTGTGAGAATACATTGGATAGTACAGTATTTACATTCTTGTAAAGCCACTAGTACGCACAGCGTTTCGGGCAGGTCCTTAATCTAGCAGATAATTTTAAGTAGGTAATTTCAATCAGAATTGATAAATGATAAAGATAACTACTACTAACAGAATGAGTGTGGCTCACAGTAAACTACAACTCACAGGATGAGTACGTGGTGCACAGTAAACTACCACTCACAGGATGAATACTGTATGCACAGTAATCTACCACTCCCAGGATTAGCATGGGGTGCACAATAACCTATCACTCCACCCGTAATTCTAAAGTCACTTATTAACTACGTGCATAGGTGATTACTAAACATAATAGATACCCTTAAAAAGATTCATAGAAAACACCGACCTTACCTAACCTTGTCACTCACAGGGTGTGTGTGTGTGTGTGTGTGGAGTGCACAATAAACTACAGCTCACAGGAAGATTGTGGAGTACACAATACACCGCCACTTACAGAATTAGTATAGAGTGCACAATACATTACTGCTCACGTGATGAGTTTGGAGTACTCGATAGACGGCGACAGTCAAGCTTATTGCGTCACGGGCCTATTCATATGTATTATTGTTACCCATACAGTCAATGCGTTTTCTTTGTAAATAGAGAAGTTTAGTTTTCTTTAATCTGATGAACAAGGAACATACACTAATTTGCTGTATAATAATTTTTACCTGATAGCCACTATCTCTAGCGGCATTGATGAGGACAAGAAGCCAGCGGCTTGTCAAAGGTCCTCCCGGTTTTTCATGAGATTTGTTTAAAGTGAATTTTGAAATAATGTTTACATTTTCGGCTTCGGAGGGTCGGCGGTTCTGTTTTAATAATTTGATAATTTAATAGTAATTTTAATATTAAATAATACTTAATTTTTGTCTTTTTTACAACCCCTACCTATCACCCCTACTACCCATCACCCATTCCCCATTCCCCAATCCATGCACCCTCCCCTTCTTACCTCTGTTCTTCTGCTTGAGGGAATCGACCTGAAGGTGGAGGCCAACCAGCAGGTTCTGGTGGGTCAAGGCGAGTTCTGTGAGGTCGTGCTCCAGCTGCGCCGCCCTCGCCCACCCACCACACCCACAGCTCCGGTTCTGTAGGGGTTCGTTGTTAGTGATGGGTGGTGGCATGATGCTTGAGGTGGTGGTGGGGGCTGTTGATAGTGGTGGTGGTGGTTGTAGTGTTATGCTAGTGGAGGTTGGTTGTAGTGGTGAATGTGGTAGTGAGGGTGAAGGCTGTATGTGTAAATTAATTGTTTATACCTTCATCGTGTTTATAGGTTAAGGGGGAGTTGGGCGAGGTCATTTTGCATATAACCATGAGTTATATTTTGATTCGTGTTATTAGGCTATCTATATCACTCTCTCTTCATTCTCGTTCTCAATCTCTTTTTTTCTCTTTATCTCTCACTATGAGGAGAAATGCCAAATTGGAAATCAAATTAACTGAAGATAAAGCTTCCGTACAATGACTGTAGCAACTCAAGCATAAATATGATACGAGTTAACTCGCTCTCTTGCAAAATGATTACCAATGATATTTCTAACATATTCTACAAATCTAACTATTATCCTACATCAGCTCACGTTACAAATTTACCCAAAAATATCTGTACTATAATTAGTTTTATATTACATATTTTAATATACTTAGTTTTTAAATAGCTATATACTTTGTATAATGTTAGTGTATAATCATATCTCGCTCTCTTCCCACATTTTTCACTCTGCTCTACTTACCACATTGTTCTTCTCGTCCGTTTTTCTGATTCGTCTGTCTATTTCGAAGGTTTCGTTGGTGTGGATGCGGGTAGTGGGTGTCTGGGCCAGCTTGGTGATGATGGTGCTCTGCTGGGGCTCCCAGGTCTTGTTCCCTCCCCCGCCCAGGTGGGCGGAGAACACGCCCATCCCCAGCCCTGACGGGGACCGCTCGATGGTCACGCCCTTGTCCGTCATCACAGCCCTCTTAGCCTGACGGAGGTCGGGTGCTGCAGGAACTCACTCAGGGAAGGGTTCTCCTTCAAGCGGTTGATGAAATAATTTAGAGGGTGTCCTTGAAGTAGTTGCACTTCACAGGATGGTGGGGTGTCTTTCTTAAAGGATTTCGCAAACGAAAGTGAGGAACCTCTTAAATTAAAGGTGACAATAAAGGCGTAGGGTTTTATTTAAATAAATTCGCAAAAACCGGTATAATATAATATTGGAGTTTGTAACAAGAGGCCAGTATTGACAAGAGCCTCCTAGCAGATGGTGTCAAAGACTTGAAGTTACGGGGGACAGCTTCTGCGTATCAGTTGGATCAGTGTCACCAGGGCAGAGGTCCTCCTCCGTCAGGTATTAGGATATGACCGATATTTTTGTCTCTTGTGTTCAGATGGTGACTCGCCCGTCTTAGAGCTACTCTGACGATGTCTTTGTAAATAAACACGTACACCTTTTCAACTTTTCTTTCTAGACCCAATTTAAGAAAGCTCACACATTTGAAGTGCGTCTAGAACCAGCTAAACACTTATATCCAAACTTAAAGTTCGTCTCAGAGCGTGGAGTGCATCAATGCATCAACACCAAGACTGGCGCGGTGCCGTGAGAGGGACTTTAGGGGAGACTGGGAACAGGGGTAATTATCCTAAGTTTGATAAACCTTAAAGTTATTTCCTAGGAACTTTCAGATATAGTCTCATAACAGCTCTTTAAAACAACGCTGCTGCTACGAGCTGGGAATGCCATTTTAGAATTGTGTGGCAAATGTATGTACGTTAAAGTCTCCATGAATGCTAGGGAGGGAAGATGTTGATCACACCGGAGACCAGCAAGTAGTGTTGGGGACACACACGGCATGCATTGTTTTACCCTTCCTGCCACGAGATCTCTTCACGGTCAAGCAAGACGTCTTCTTCCAGTAAGAACACTTTTCAGCCTCCCGATTACTATTTCACAATAAAACGAGATTTGCTACACCATAGCGGTTCTCTACCTCACGCAGGGCCCAGCCTTAACCCTATCTCTAGGGGAGGCGTGCCAGTGGTGCCACCAGCTCGATATGGCACCAAGGGTTCCTATGAATTCGCCAGGCAGCTGAATGATGAATCCATCAGTGACGTCGCAGTGATACGGTCATTGAGGCAGAGGTGGCTGGTGTGCCCCCAGGTAGCCAGAGGGCGTGGTCCTGGCTCTTGGAGAGAGGATGGCTGGCCTCCCACATGAGCAGCGCTACCTTCAGGCACTCCTGCTGCCTTCACTCTCTGAAACGGTAAAGTAATGTCACATTTGAGCGTGAATATATTAATAGAATACAACGATAAAGCTATTAAATTATTGGAGGAAGATTTACGTGTTTATCAGGCGTGAGCAAATATACACAAACAACTTCCTCGTCTGCTTGCAACTGCTAACGTACGCCCAGTTGATTAACAGTTGAGAGGCGGGACCAAAGAGCCAAAGCTCAACCCCCGCAAGTACAAATAGGTGAGTATCCCACTATGGTAGGCGCACGATGGTATGTAACCTGAGACACGCGGACTAGGAGCGTGCGACCTTGCTCCTGCCTCCTACGAACATTTATAGTAAACATACACATAAACAGCTTTTAAACGACGAGCACATCATGAAGGAAGCGCGTAGTGCAGTGCCCCGTGTCGTAGTTATTTTCTGAAGCAGAGTGGTCTGCGTCCTCGGCAGCGGGGTGACCTAGAGACGTCTCGCGGGGTTATGTAGTCCGGGAAGGAGTGATGTTTACCGTCTGTACCGAGCAACATGGGCGCCTTCTTGGCCAGTTCCTATATATTTATCTTATTTGTGCTGCGTCTATTCTCGATATCGTTTTATCGTCGCCACCAGCAGTGCAGTCATTAGTATTACTAACATTATTTATTTATTTATTTATTTATTTATTCAAGAGTTCTTACATGTTTGTACAGCCACTAGCACGCATAGCGTTTCGGGCAGGTCCTGGATCCTAATTTTCCCCGGAATACGACCCGCCAAATCGTTTAACAACCAGGTACCTATTGACTGCTGGGTGAACAGAGGCTACAGGTAAGGATTGGCGCCCAGCAACCCTCCCCGGCCAGGATACGAACCCAAGCCAAAGGGCTCGCGAAACCCTGGGCGAGTGTCTTACCACTGCGCCACGGGGGATTGCTAAATGCATTATATCTATTATTATTATTATTATTTAAATAAAAATGTTTGATATCTTTGTCATACACACATGTTCCCATTTACCATCAAAGATTATTTCGGTCCTTCTGCTCACGTGATATGTGTAATGAAATTGAAATTGAAGTAAGTTTATTGAGGTAAAATACACACAAAGGGATGAGGCAGCTCAAGCTATTCTCACCCCGTTCAGTACATCGTGTTAATACATACATATACACACATCACAAACAATAAACATATTACCAAACATTCTGAGAGATAAACATCTACATTTCCTACATGTGTATTGAGACATGACCACACACGCGTACCAACATATGCATGCGCGCATGCACGCACGCACCCCGTGCTAAGCCTGTGTTGATACCGTTTATGGCGCGAAGGCAGGTGATACAACCTTATTTCAACTTCATGGAATTACAAAATATAGTCAACCTAAATTTAAACAAGGTTGTTTGTGAGAGTAAATGTGCAGTATGGGTAAACACTGGGAGGACCAGCACCAGTAGGGCCGTACCACGAGTGATTGATTGATGAAGATTAAGTCACCATAGAGGTGGCACGGGCATGAATAGCCCGTAATGTCATACCACACATTTTGAGTGATAATATCCCTTCCCCCCCCCCCTGCTCCCTTCTCTCATTTATCTTCTCCTATTTCGCCCTCTCGTCTCTTGCCACTCACTCGCCAGTGAGTGGCAATGTTGCCACTCACCGACCCAGTTTGTGTGGAACGCCCTTTATGAATATAAGTATTAAACCGAACCCTATGATCTTATTACCCCGCGGGTAAACAAGGAATACCCAGAGCTGCAACCTCCGTGGTTTACACAGACCTCGGCCGGCGCCGTCTCCCCCAAATACACTCACGCGCGTGCGTGTGTGGGTGCTGAGGCACTCTTCTTTCTCTCAGCCTTTCCTCGTAGCTCAGTCACCTCAACTCATGAACCAGTCTTGTTGTCTATCTCTGGATTTTTATGGTCTTGTATTTCCTTCTATTTCACTCTCGCTTTTCCATCTTTACCCCTTCATCTTTCTCTCCTCCCCCCTCTTCTCTTTTCCCCCGCTCTTACCCTTCCCTTTCCCCTCTGCATCCTATCGCCTAGCACTATCTACCAGAGCCTTCAGTGTCAGCCAGTGTTAGCGTGGCTGGAAACTGAGCAGGCGCAGTATGGCAATATCTAGGTCAGTGTTACATATGGTCACAGTGTTGACATAAGAAGACAAGAATTAAGATGTTGGCAGGTGTGAGGGAAGCTGCGAAGGAGATGTAATTAAGGTGTTGGGAGATGTGATGACAAGATTCGACGTAGGTTCGAATCCTCGTCACGGCCCTTGTGGATTTGTTTATTTATCGGTTCTACATTTCTGGTGGTTTCTGTACTGAAGACGTGTGGCTTGTTATATATATATATATAACTGAAAACTCACACCCCAGAAGTGACTCGAACCCATACTCCCACAACTGGTATGTACAGGGACGCCTTAATCCGCTTGACCATCACGACCGGACATAAGGAAGTGATAGCCGAGGCTATATGAACCACTTCCCCGCCGGCACTCGGATGGTAATCTTGGGCATAGCATTTTATCAAATCACCTCATTCTTTGGGGCACACGTGAGGAACACAAATGCAAACAAGCCTGAATGGTCCCCAGGACTATATACAACTGAAAACTCACACCCCAGAAGTGACTCGAACCCATACTCCCACAACTGGTATGTACAGGGACGCCTTAATCCGCTTGACCATCACGACCGGACATAAGGAAGTGATAGCCGAGGCTATATGAACCACTTCCCCGCCGGCACTCGGATGGTAATCTTGGGCATAGCATTTTATCAAATCACCTCATTCTTTGGGGCACACGTGAGGAACACAAATGCAAACAAGCCTGAATGGTCCCCAGGACTATATACAACTGAAAACTCACACCCCAGAAGTGACTCGAACCCATACTCCCACAACTGGTATGTACAGGGACGCCTTAATCCGCTTGACCATCACGACCGGACATAAGGAAGTGATAGCCGAGGCTATATGAACCACTTCCCCGCCGGCACTCGGATGGTAATCTTGGGCATAGCATTTTATCAAATCACCTCATTCTTTGGGGCACACGTGAGGAACACAAATGCAAACAAGCCTGAATGGTCCCCAGGACTATATACAACTGAAAACTCACACCCCAGAAGTGACTCGAACCCATACTCCCACAACTGGTATGTACAGGGACGCCTTAATCCGCTTGACCATCACGACCGGATGAGGTGATTTGATAAAATGCTATGCCCAAGATTACCATCCGAGTGCCGGCGGGGAAGTGGTTCATATAGCCTCGGCTATCACTTCCTTATGTCCGGTCGTGATGGTCAAGCGGATTAAGGCGTCCCTGTACATACCAGTTGTGGGAGTATGGGTTCGAGTCACTTCTGGGGTGTGAGTTTTCAGTTGTATATAGTCCTGGGGACCATTCAGGCTTGTTTGCATTTGTGTTCCTCACGTGTGCCCCAAAGAATGAGGTGATTTGATAAAATGCTATGCCCAAGATTACCATCCGAGTGCCGGCGGGGAAGTGGTTCATATAGCCTCGGCTATCACTTCCTTATGTCCGGTCGTGATGGTCAAGCGGATTAAGGCGTCCCTGTACATACCAGTTGTGGGAGTATGGGTTCGAGTCACTTCTGGGGTGTGAGTTTTCAGTTGTATATAGTCCTGGGGACCATTCAGGCTTGTTTGCATTTGTGTTCCTCACGTGTGCCCCAAAGAATGAGGTGATTTGATAAAATGCTATGCCCAAGATTACCATCCGAGTGCCGGCGGGGAAGTGGTTCATATAGCCTCGGCTATCACTTCCTTATGTCCGGTCGTGATGGTCAAGCGGATTAAGGCGTCCCTGTACATACCAGTTGTGGGAGTATGGGTTCGAGTCACTTCTGGGGTGTGAGTTTTCAGTTGTATATAGTCCTGGGGACCATTCAGGCTTGTTTGCATATATATATATATATATATATATATATATATATATATATATATATATATATATATATATATATATATATATAAGGAGCACTTAAATCGCCTGTTTCTAATACTGCTACTGCTTGTGTTGTACACATTTAGGGTGTTATGTTGATGCTTGTGTTCACCAATAATATTTTTAGCTAAACACCTTTTACATTCCCCTCACTGGTTTTCTTTCCATTTTTAAGTTGTTGACTTCAGAGCGGCAAGGGCAGTGTTGCCTCACGTGCCCCGGCGTGCCCTTATTGGAGGATAAGACGCAATGACTTACGGCTATAGTAACGATGCCTGTCGCCGGAAACAACTTTGACCCAAATATCACAGTAACAAGGTTATCGCGAATAACCGAACTCAATTACGGGCTCACCATAGCCCGTGCTACATGGACATTTCCTTTTGAGTAGCTAAATCTGAAACAACAACAACAACAACGGAAGCAAACAGTGATAAGCATGTGTTTGGGGCTCCTAAGGAGTCCCTCAGGGAGGCAGACACGGGCCTCCACCACCCCCCCACACACACACACACACACACACACACACACACACACACACACACACACACACACACACACACACACACACACCTGTCAGAGTAGTTAATAAATGGAATGTACTAGGAAGTGATGTGGTGGAGGCTGACTCCATACACAGTTTCAAATGTAGATATGATAGAGCCCAGTAGGCTCAGGAATCTGTACACCAGTTGATTGACAGTTGAGAGGCGGGACCAAAGAGCCAAAGCTCAACCCCCGCAAGCACAATTAGGTGAGTACACACACTGCGTAGCCAAACACAGTCTATTCAAAAATACGGTCCCAAATAAACTCATATCCAAATAGGCAAATACGCATATACGACTTTTAGTGACCTCTGACACAACAGGAGCCACCCACCCAGCACACCCTGAGGGCCACACAGGAGCCCAGCACACCCTGAGGGCCACACAGGAGCCCACCACACCCTGAGGGCCACACAGGAGCCCACCACACCCTGAGGGCCACACAGGAGCCCACCACACCCTGAGGGCCACACAGGAGCCCACCACACCCTGAG